AGGCAGTCCAAGTCACAGCACGAGGAAGAGGAAGGTAAGAGGTGAAGAGAGAAAGAGACGGGACTAAAGAAGAGGAGAATCTAGTGCAGTAGATTAAGTTGATTATAATGTTAGTCCAACACTCCTGAAGGTAGAAAGAGCAAGGCGGAGGAAGGCGGGGTCAGAGAGAGACAGAGAGGGACAGGAGAGCTTTCGAGATCACAGGAACCACAAACCAATGTTGCGTCTCCTACCTTCATCTGCCAACTCTGAGAAGAGCTCCCTCCATCCACAGGGACACACCCGCCATAGCTGACCCAGATCCACCTCACGTTCCTGGGCATGTTATCCACTAGAATGCCTCGTCTCAAGGGAGACACTGGTACAACACCCATACGGGCATGGGTGTGATTTACTTTCAAAATATGAGTTGAAGTTTTGTGAACTTTAGATTTAGTTTTATTTAACCTCATGAATCCACGGTTAGTACAAACTCCTGCTGTGCAGCCAAATATCGTTAAAATCCACAGAACTTTATTTTAAACAGTAGTGGAGATCCCAAAGATCCCAAGTATGTCATTTTGAAGAGGTGTGTATAAAATGATGCACAAGATGTAAAGAAGATTTTCATTTGATGGAGGTGGTGCTGCTATAAAAAAACATCTAGTGTAGGGTTTGAATATTTCACTCAGTGTAAACATCACACAGCTTCAATGAAGCGCAGGAACAAGCCGATACAGAATGTGAGCTATATGGTATTATCAGTGTGGAAAAATTAGATTTTTAAACCTAAAACCTTAAACCCACGAGGTGAAACAGGGGGACACTGTATGTTAAAAGTGTTTAGTTAAATTTAGTTATATCAGAGATTTATATCAGAACTTGTTATACATGTTCTTTTTGAGCGGTAGGCTAAGTCTGCCACCATTATGTCTGTGATGAAGCATAGCAACAGTAACTAAGGGCGGGGCTTGGTTAGTTAAAATCACCTGTGTGGGTTTATCCCGAGTGTGCAGGGCCTTTAAACGTTTTTTCTGACGGGTGGTATCCAGCAGTGTAGTTTGAGTACAGCAGTGTGCAAACATATGCTTTCATTATCATATCCTGGAGGAATATTCTATGAAATTGTACTCGTCCAGTCATCCATGTCAGTCCTCACTATTGCTAATCAATATACTGTCAAACTAAATGTCACTCAACGTATGACTTGCAGTTAAGATAAGTTTATCCGACTGGAAATATGAACACACAGACACAATGATGTGTAAGCGTGTGTTTATGTTTCCAAAACCCTTGTAAATCCACTGTGTACACTGCCAAAGACTGTGCACGCAGTTATTTACCACACACACACACACACACACACACACACACACAGCTGCCGGCCATGTAGGCCAGCTCATAATGTGTTCCATCTCAACACGCTTCAATTGCAGTCAGTGCTGTGAGGCAGAGAGACAGAGATACAGAGAGAAAAAAAGGGATGCAGCAAAGGACAGGGAGTGAGATAAATATCAGTGGCCCTTGGTATAGATGTACAGATAGAAAGCTTAGAATACACAATAGCATCAGGGCAATCACACACACAATTGTTTTTCAAGTCACTATGTTCCAGAGGCAGTGGTTTTAATAGAGAAACATGACTGAGTCTTTAATTTAGTCTTTGCCTCTTTATACCCCCCTTCCCTCTCTTCCTTTCCTCTTCTGCCTTCCTGCCTCACTTCCCTCCACCTCTCCCTCCCTCTCTCTCTCTCCCTCTCTCTCACCCCATCTCTTTTCAGTAACGAGAGGATTAGCGGGAGACGAGCCGATGTCAGCTGAGGATGCGGGGAGAGTGGGAGGCACAGAGGAAAGGGGAGGTGAAGAGGAGAGGAGGGTGAATGAAAGGCGGTATCGAACGCTGACCTGTTTTGGGCTGATAAGCGCATGCTGCTTTGTGCTGAAGCCACTGGCTTTAATTTGTGGGCCGCAACATTTGGAATTAATTATCACACGTACTCCAGCACTGCTGCGGCTTACTGTGTACATGGCTATTACATCCACTCCAATACAAACTTTATACAGCTTATGTGCTGGAACTTACTGTTACACAGGAGTTTGCATTGCTGTTATGATAAATTTGCATAAAATAGAGCTGAACTACAATGTTAGTGTACGGTTATACAAAGAGGGATGTGGGGTATGCCGCCTATGAAGAACTGTTCAGGTTATGGGCAAAAGCAACACAAGATTTTTCTTTCAACACTAAAAGATTAAAACCAGTACAATATAGTAGCTTCAGTTGAAGTTGAGTCCTAAAGGCAGTAAGCAGGGAAATGTACTTCACTGAATCTTTCAGTATCCGACGTCAAGGTGATAGGGTTGGTGACTGTTCACATTTTAATCAATACCGGTATCGGTACCTGAAATTCCGTACCGGTATCCAACGGCACCTGTTTTACTACGTAACAAGTATGTAATCTACAGGTTTAGGACATAATAGAATAATTATGAATAAGTAGATCAGCACACTTGCCAACCTCCAGACATCATAGGCTAAATCAGGAGACCAAACCTAACCAGGGTGGCTGCATAGGCATACTAACCTAATGAAAACCTATTATTGGGAATCATCCTCATAACCGTAGTAACTCACTCTCTCTTGCTTGCACACAATGCAGGATGGACACTGACTCTTGTTTGTCCGTGCGTTCTCAGTGTCTCTTTTCGTGCAGTTAACAAAAATGTATTTCTCACTGCATGAGAAAATGGACATGTGGCGTGAGGGCCTGTGAGTTGATAGTCCTGTGGCTTAATCTAGTAGAACTCTAAGCTACCGTCAACCAAAAGTGAGAAACGCTATCTCCAACAACTCATCCAACTAACTAATTATTTACCTGAAGATGTCGACGGATGACTTAAAGTTTCATCCCACATGGAGGGGTCAACTTCAGTGCTCGCTGCAGGTTTGCTAACATTAGCTGCGGATGTTGAAGGGGACTTTGCTATCAGGCTATCAAACACGGTAGCGTTGTGTTTGACCAGGTGTCTCCTCAGGTTAGACTTGTTGCCCTGGCCAGCTTTGCATTTTGCATTACACAGGCTGTGTGCCCTGACTCACTGTGACTTGAACAAGCTGCAGGCGCTCTCTCTCTTTCTGTCTATTATCTACCTTACTCTCTCACCCACATGCGCTCTCAGATACAGAAATTTGGCACAGAGGTATTTAACATGAAATGGTACTCAATCGGTACCCTCAAAAGAACAGAGTTCGGTACTCAACCCTAGAGGTGAGATTAGCTTGCCTGCTAAACATTTTGTGAATGAGTCCGCAAAGCTTGTCAACAGGAACAGTTTAATACCTGCTGAGTTCAATAAAATCGATACCTATAAAAACGAACCTTCAACAGTGTGATATTATAGCGCAGTATTTCACTGGCCAAGAATACGGCCACATTTCCTGTATAAACCATACAGTGGTAAAACACAAGCAGTTGTTTTTACATTTCATTCTCAAGTTTCAGCTAACCTTCTCCTGGCATTAGCTTCATATAGGATGTAGGAAGGGTCCGGGTATCGATCTTCTCGTCTAACTCTCAGCAGGAAAGCAAGCACGTAACATGGTTGATGCAAACAACAAGAGAAACGGCCTAGAGAGAAGCATTTCTGTGTGGCATCTCGGTTAGAAAACATTACGTCTGTTTATGTAGAGGCAATACTGGAATGAAATGAAACATGTATCACCAAGGGCCATGGTGCCAAATCTGCTTAGTAGTTTAGTGCCACCACATTTTTGACTGTAAATCATCCATTGTGACCCATTGTGTACGCTCAGTGTTTATCCGACTGGTTTGAAAAGTTGCCTGCTTGTGTGGGACATAGAACGAGGTTTGTCAAATAATAAAAAATAAGGCTAAAGGCCATGGCACATCAAACACACATTCACCAACAAACACAGATGTTTGCTTGGTGTGCCATAGCTGTCTGCAGTATTTTTTTTTTAGAATTGTTTGTAGATCATGTTCAATCCGTGTTTGATGAAGTTTGATCCATGCTTTCAAATAGACAATTAATAAATGCGCCATGGACAGTTAGTTTCTCAGACAGCTGCCAACATTAGAATATTTCCTGTTGTTGTTCCATACCATGAGCTTAAAACTGTTTTTTTAAACCATCTGAGCCAGATGTCACACTATTATGGTCACAGGCATTGATATTCCACCCAAATGTAAAGAATTTAAAGGTCACCTCAACACGTTTGACTAACTTTATTAAAGTTTAACCCCGCTAGGCAGTTTTTCTCCGTCTACCCGTGGATTTTGAACCGTAAACAGTTCCCTGATCACATCCCCACATTCGCATTCCCAGTGGATAATTGGTGTGTGGTACGTGTTGTTTACCATCACATTGAGCCACGGTTCATACATGGTTCAGAACCACTTGTTAACCCTATACTGTACTAGCAATAGTAAATGGTGCAGGATACAGTAACCCCTATTAAAAGTAAATGTGTGGCTAGTAAGAGCAGTAGCAGCAGCAGCAGCAGCGGCTCGACTACAGTGGATTGGGAGCAGCTTTAGAGGCGGCGTGAAGCGGTTGAGTGGCTCAGCAGGCCTGTGTGTATGTAGGCCGTGTTCTGCATGTTATTTCCTTGAAGTCATCAGACCTACGCTCCCCCATCAGGGAAAGGCTCTTATGATAAGTGGCAGCCATGAAATATGCACAGCCTGTCGTAGCCGCCAGCCTCGCTTCACAGAGCCTCGCTTTGCTTCCTCGTCCCCTCCCTTCCTCCTCTCCACTGTCCCCTCTTACTACCTCTTCCTCTTTTCTCCTCGCCTCGCCTTCATTGTGGAATTGCTTCCCTCTTCTTTTCTTTCATGTTTTCCTTTCTCACTCACATTTGCTCCCATCGCTCTAATCTGTTTCTCCTTACCTCTTTTTACCTCCTTTTCTTCACTCTCCTCCAGATCCACTGTTTTTTTTGAAGCACATTGAAATGTACACAAGGAACATCATGTAAACACAACAAGCAGCCCCTAAAACATCTTTTAAATCCTTTATTTTAGGTATGCCTGTTTTTCCTGAAAAACAAAAAAAATTTGGCACATGGAAAGCATTGTGAAAAGCATTTTTTTTCTCCTTTAGCTATATTTCATTTTCACACATAGCGCACACAACAGTAGCCTGGATCATACTTTTGAAGCACTGCTGACACAGAAAACATGAATCACCCTAATATGTTAAATGTATATAAATCCTAACTAATAAAAAGGTAAAAGCATTATTCATGCAGAGTTCATTTTGCCTCTCCTTCAGCAGAAAGGAACCATACAAACAAACAAAAACACAAATCTTGGAGTTAAGACTTCTCGTCCTCTCGTCCTTTGCAATACTGACCACATGGTGTATAACTATATGAATATATAAACATTTGACACAGCTATGTATATGTTTATGTATAAGTATATATAGTAATTTGTTGCTGTTATAATACAGGAGACACTGACTGTAATAAATACCGACAATGGAGGTACGGTACAGGTAATGGATGTCGTCAAGTCATAAAAAGACAACAGTTGCATTTACTTTCAGACTCACAATTGTGGACGAAATGTGAAAGCACTAAAGTTCCTCTTCTGTGCTGACCTCACCAGCAGTTTAAAGTATGAGACCAGAGATAACAGAGATGACAGACCTTATGCAGATGTTAGTTATGACCTTCCCTAAATCAGTGAATGTTTTTCTTTCTATCCATTAACCCAATCAAAATGACTTCATGTAACAGGTCTCCGTGCCACCAAAAAGCATCGGACGATTGAAGAGCATTACGGGGGACTGTGTGAAATATTCAGACCAGTGATGAGGCAACTAAAGAGAACTGGAAATCCTCAGTGCGTGGCTTATGTCAACTTTAATTGCAGATGACATTTTTCACACTGTGTTGGAAATGTTTGATATTTAAAGCTTATGTCAAATTCTAGTCAACTGTCTAGTGGACAGCAAGTGTAGCTATCAGCCAGTTGTACATGAAGACCTACTTCCCTTCCAGTTACTTCCATACTGTAGATACTCTAAGATATCAGCTACCATCTTCATGATAATCTCCTATTTGTAGTCCTATTCATGGCCTGGTAGCATGGCAGATAACTGTTTGTTCAAGTGAATTAACTGTATGATATTGTTGCATTCTTCTTCTTCTACTGTATAGACAACTTCCTGCCACTATTAACAATAAACACCAGTGAAACCCAATGTGTCCACTTTGCAGAAAAAAACGTCCCTGATGTCCCCCTGTGATGAAGAGGAGTGTGATATGAGGAAGCACTTCAGTCACTTCCACACACTGTTAGTTAGACTCAAGTGTATTAGGTACATCTTTCTCCGTGGCTGAGATAAACCTGCCTACCAATGAGCCTTATAAACTTTTGTACGTAAATGAATTACAGTTTTAACCTGAGCCTTCTGAAGGTCCGTTCACTACCTGCCTTCTTGTCAACATTATTGCTAGCTGGGGAAAACAAAAGAACACACACACACACACACACACACACACACACACACACACACACACACACACACACACACACACACACACACACACACACACACACACACACACACACACACACACACACACACACACACACACACAGTCCTGCTTCAGGAAGCCTAGCTTTAACCTGGGTGTCCATCTTTACTGCTGCTGTAGTTAGGATGGAAATTCTTATTGCGCATGCAGATGGCTACTTGAAAAACACATCAGTGAGTAGAGCCTCAAATCCTTTCTCCAATCCTTTAATCAACTAGACCATAAAAATTAAGCTGCACCACAGAAACTTCTTCCAGGCCTTTGGACATGTTCAGGTAGTTAACCTACATGTCTAAAACAGGCCATAGACCCTAACCTGCAACACGTCCCTAGTACTGACTGGTCATGCTATCCAGGAACTACAGCGTTGGAATTTTTGCAGTGCACAGAAGGTTTAAGACTACAACAACTTATGTACAGCTTCCATCAAGACTCCACATAAGCACTCATTTTCTCTAATATCACTCTTTTTTGTTGAAATTTACTGAAACATCATATTATTCGCTAATTGCTTCAATCTCAATATCATGCATTCCCACAGGAAAACAGCTTTTTTCTTCTCTTCTTCCATCTTTTTCTCCTTTCACTTTCAGAGTATAGTACTAAGTGGATCATACCAACACTGCTTGATATGAAGGGGGGTGCAAACAGTCAGTATACAAACAAATGTTAATACAAGGCCAGGCAAGGTGCTGGGTAGGTATGGACACACATACAAAAATTTAAATGCAAATGTGCATTTTCATACACAGTACTCGTTCACGCACATATAAAACATACATATGCGCACACACATACGTTGTAAACATACAGCCAGGTATCGGAATCATGCTTTTGTAAAACACAAAGAAACTAACTGCTAGTCTCTTTCATTGCTTAAATACTAGATAACAGAAAATCAGAGAATAAGAAGTAGTATTAGCTATCTATTTAAATGACTCAAAGCCTATATAAAGACTACATTTCCTAACAGCATTTTACCATCATCATCCAAATGCTGAACAGCAAATAAGACACAGACAATCTAATATTTGTTGCTTTTTAAAGCACAATTCTGATCTTCCACTATCTCACTAGGTAAAATCATACTCCTACCATGTTTTTTTAATACATATTTTGAAATCCAAGAAAAAACAGCCACACAATGGCAGCACAGGGGTGCAGAGATAAGATGCTAAAATGCTGCTGGGAGACAAAGTCCAGGGCTATTACTGATATAGAAACTCATGCACAAGTATGTGAAGCATTCCAGTTTTAGCTAAGATAAGGATAAACATACAGACACTATTGTTATTATTATACACTGAATAAAAATCACACATTACTACAGGCCAAACTCAGAATGTGCTGGAATAGCCAAGGAATGAGTAAAAGAAAAGTTAAATCACAATTTCCACCAAAAAATGTGTCAACATGGAATGCTGAAGATATGTTATATGTGAATGATGCAGTTGTTTTGGGGGGACTTGTCAATATTCTGTGGTTAGGTTGTGCATTTACTGCATTTGTGTCAGTTAATGCATTACTATCGAGTTACTCATCAGCAAAAAAATACATATAATTTTGTCCCTCAATTGAAATTTTGTATTATGAAGGTCACCATTAATTTCTAATCCTTATTCTGTTGATGTCTGTCAAATTAAACACACACTTTGTTCACACTGTGATCAACACACATTACACCCCAAAAGCTTATGTCGAATCACACTTCCAAGCTTCTTGTTTCTCAAAAACAAAGCTGGGAAAAAGTCAGTGGCTCTTATCCTGTTCACTAGTAATATTTTGATCACATAGAAACATGTGAAAATACAGGATTTCTTTAAATTAAATCTAATCTAAAACTCCCAGTTTAAATTGTATTTTTAAAGCTGCAATATAGTGCTACATGCATTCAGGCCATTTCTTATGGCACATGGACCCTCAGAAGAGGTCATCATATCATCCAGATAGGGTTGGGTACAGTTTTGTCGTGCACGGAGCATTTAACTTCAGCGCTGCCTGCAGGTGTGCTAATGTTAACTGTGGCTGCTGAATGGGACTTTTGGGCTATCAAACACAGTAACGTGACACACTTGTGTTTGACCAGGTGTTTCCTCAGATTTGCATCAGGCCAGCTTTGCAACTTCTCACCCAAATGCATTCTCAGGTACCAAAATTTACAACCAATTGATTTAACATACTTGGTAGTACTGATGCAGTTCGGTCAGTACACTTAAAAATACCAAGTTCGGTACCCAACTCTACATCCAGGTTGCACCAGTGTGAACAACAAATGTGTGTATATTTGTTAAATGCTTACTCGGTATATCTGTGTGTCAGTTTAAGTCATGGCTTCTTGGTTCCTGTGATAGCACAAATCAGGATATTTCTGGATATTTAAAGTTGATATGTGTGTGTGTGTGTGTGTATGTGAATATTCCAGGGGTACACAGGCTTGATACTGGGTAAAATGATTATGTAAGCTATATGTTTGTGTGTGTGTGTGTGTGTGTGTGTGTGAGATTCCATGTGTCCGTGCATGAGCTGAAATCAAGCCTGCTCGGTGGCAGGGGTGGTAGCAGCTCCTGGGAACTCTGGGTTGATAAAGGAGAATCCCTGGAACTCGTCCTGGTCCAGGTTCTGAATCACTTCCTCATCGGGAGGGGTCAGCACCGGTGGGTGGCGTGTGAAAAAACGGTCAAAGTTCTCGGCATCCCGTCCACACTGTTGAGGAGGGTGGGGAGGGATGGAGTACAGGAGAGGGGGGGGATGGGGAAAGGGGAGGAGCGGGGATGGAGAGGAATGGATGGATTGGGGTGGGGTTGGGGGGGAAGGAGAGGAGAACAAAAGAAGGGGAATGGCGGGTTGAACCAGGGTGTGAGATGACATTACTTGAACATGGTTTCAAATATCAGAACAAGGTGCCAGTACTTAGGGTGTGCTTGATTTAACTCTCTGTGTGTATTGGCTAAAAGGCAATTTGTTATTACCTTCAAAGTGATACAGAAATACCACTCTCAGGAGAGGATAAATCAAGCACGCCTCAGGTTTATGCTTTCCTTTTTTTTTTTTTAATATTTGAAACATATTCAACTCCAATTTTAAACAGAACAAGGTCGCTGAAGTCTCAAACGTCCTGTGGCAGTGCACTACATTGGATAGGGGTGCAAAAGTGTAATACACGGAGCAACAACTTTTTAAAAACAAGCATTTCACTGAGAAAGCATTCTACCATGGCTGTAAGTAAAAAGCCAAAAACAATTCTGCTTGGCCTTTCATCTAGATTTTTTGGGTTGTAATGCTTGGATTTAATTGGAATTTCTAAATCGTCATACAAGAAAAGGCTCAAAGCCATGCGATGGTGTAATTGTGGGTTAATTGTATGCCACAGCTGTGGAGACCTGCTGAGATATGATAACCCAAATCAGACAACCAGCTAGTATGCAAAAGAGCGCTGGGAATAACTCGAAATCTCTTTCACATCTACTAACTGAAAATGTCGACACCTACTCTTGCTATTGATAGCGTACCTTTAGCAACAGAAGATCAACTATCAATCAATCAAAAAGTCTTGATTCTTAAATGCTTACAAAAAGTGACAGATGACTAAATTAAATCATCTCGAAGAGTATTGTGCAATTTACATTAGGTAGAATTTGTTTTCTCAAGAAACAACTTGAAAAAAAAAAAAGTCATTGTTCATTTCAGTCCACTTCATATCCTCGTTCTGACTACTGGGAACCCAGAAAGAGCTTATATACCCGAGAGATGTGCGTCCATCTAAGTACATAAAACAAGTTATTAACTGTATGCCTCACAGGGACTTTGGGCCGAGCTATTCCTTTTCCCCCCAATCTCTATCACTGCACTGAGCTTTAATTAACACAACAAGGATTCAGTGTCCTCTGACAACATCACCCAGAGGAAAACTACAAACTCATTAAATCTCTGTAACTCGGAAAACCAAATGAAATTAAGCCAGACTGTTTATAGTTTGGGGAAATATGTGAAATGAGAAATACACCAGGGTCAAATAGTATTTGCAGCTAATTACTGCATGCGTTTGTTTTAACCTGTTTGGGGAGCCAGATGGAAAGAATTTGCCAAATAGGGAGATGATAAGGGCCACAAAGTTTAGAAGTATAGCAATTCAGTACACAACCTTAACCAAGAATTGGCAACTGATGGGGTAACCATCTCTCATTTTCATATTAATACGAGGGATGTGACTAGATTTGGTTTTGATAAAATAACCCTTTACAGGAAAAAAGGTGCTTTTATCGCATATGATTTGAAAATAAGAGCCTAGCAGATTCCTGGACACAAGAAAAGTTACTGTATGATTTAAAAAGTTTGGTTTTGATATAGTTTTATTTTTATTTTTTGTTCTAAGGCTGTGAGGTTTCTGTGAACTGTAGTGCACTCCAGGACAGGTTTCATTTGAGACTGAACCCCAGAGCATGCAAATAAACAGAAACAAACATGAGAAAATGTGAACACAGAGAGAAGGACAAATAAAAATGTGAAAGGACAGATGGGTTTATGCGTGGCAGGAGTAAACAGTGAGAAGATGGATGGATGGAGTCTAGGTGGAGGATGGATAAATGGACTGACAACAGACTGCTTGATGTACAGACAGACAAACAATAATAACTTAAGGGAACAGCTATAAATGGATGTCCAAGGTGATGGCATGACCTCGTCTGTCGGATGAATCAATAAAGCAACCAGTTGGCCAATCATCACATTCAAAAGCTCATCTGATCAAACATCAAACAGACTCTTCAAAGGCATTCACAGTGTGTGAAACCACAAGCAGACCATAATCACAAACAGTTAGGAAACAAACTTCTGACCGAAGTGAGGCTGCCACTGCAACCACTGATTTTAAAAGCATCAAACATCCGTCATCGGTACAATCAGTGGCATAAAAAAAACACCATCACATACCACCCTGAGGAAAACTGATTGGAGGTGGTTTTGAGTCTGAAATATAGAAGAGCCCCTCTTCCAAACAATACACACATAGCTCAAATAACTCTGATAGCATAGCACCAAAAGAGATCAAAGAACCACCTTCAGATGCTAAACTGAACCCTAAACTTTTACGCAGGGTAAGAATGGTTCTTCAAAAAGCTGAACCTTTATTTGTTCTCAGAAGGAATAAAAGAGACATGAAAGAGAGAGGCGAAAGAAGAAGAAAGAAAAGAGAGAAGAGGAGAGCAGACAAACATATGTTAGTAGTCACATCAGAGGTAACACAGCCAGGTCCTAATGGTGACCTCTAATATCCCCACACACAGACACACAAACACAGGAGCATCCATACACACTGCAGCATTACCAATCCAGCTTAACACACACACACACACACACACACACACACACACACACACACAGACACACACACACACACACACACACACACACACACACACACACACACACACACACACACACACACACACACACACACACACACACACACACACACACACACACACCCCCAGTGGGCCAAGACAGCTGCATGAAAAGCTCAACTCAGAAAAACTCTTTAGCAGCAGCCAGGCCTAAGGCTGTGTGAGTGTGCACACATTATTTTGTGTGCGAGTCTTAGTACAAGATGACATCATTCTGACTCCAGTTATGATCAAACTAATTTTGTCGTAGAAAAAAAACAACAAAAGCACAGCAAAGAAAAACACAAAGACACAGTTGTTTCGGGTCACTGTTGCTGACACTGTATGGACGTACACTTGTTCCCTTGAGGTTTATTCTAAACTCAATCTAACCCCCACGATGAGGACGCAAACTATTTCAGCTCATGCAGAATGCGAATGCACCAAACTGGGGGCCGAGTTTGTGTTTTAGCTCAACAGCTGACACCGAAAATGTCTTCAACATCGAAAAAAAGCATCACCACCCAGCAGTCGTTCCTGCTGTCACCATCATCGCCAACGTCTTCTTCATCCGACCCACATTCATCACTGTGCCTTTATATCACCATCATCATCACATCACCACAACCCCTTGCCCTCATCACCACACATTCATCACCACCAATGCCATCATCATCATCATTTCCTGACTTACCTGTGTGCAATGTCCCATACAGAGGAGGGGGAAGAGACAAAAACATCACATTGGAAGTGAACAGATGAGTAAGATAACAGAAACAGAAGAGAGATAGACCTCGAGGGGGAAATAGAGGAAGTTAGAATGAAAGAAGGGAGCAAGATGTGTTCTGCAACCGCACCGAAACATTGTTCAAAGCAGCGTCTTTACCAGGAGTTTAACCACTAACAGGAATTAAAGCCCTGGTCTCTGCTGTGCTGGGAGAATAATTAACCCCCTGGGCCCTGTGCCACTCAGGTGAATTGCATTTTCTTATTTGGGGTCAAGCCGGGTTCAGACTTACAGCTCTGGGTTTGAATGGCGGCTGCACCTCCTTGTTCTCCAGTTTCTCCCAGTCCATGTAGCGGAAGAAGCTGTGGTCCCTGATGTCTCTCTCGCCCTCTGGGCCACAGCCCAGTCGCTTTGCTGGATGCTTCGTCATCAGCTGGACAAAAAGGCGGAAGAAGAAGAATTACTTTGTGTCTCTCCTTCCTTTCTTCCCTCAATCTAACCTTTTCTGTCTCTTTATATTCTCATTTACATCACATCCTTTCTTTCATTGCTTCCTCCTTTTCTGTACGACCTCAATCATTCCTTCACCATCTTCTCTTTCCTCCCGGCCCTGGAAACTAACATATATCCAGTGTTGGGCTAGTTACTCAAAAAACAAACAACCAATATATTACTCATTACTCTTTTAAAAAGTAATATAATGACTTTACTTATTACTTCCTGCCAACAGTAATTAGTTACACTACTAGTTCTATTACTTTTCAGCTACTCCCCACAAAATTGGTCATTGTGTATCTTCTCCCCAAAATTCCGACTTACAACGATTAAAATACAGTTTTGTTTGTTAAAATCAAAGTAATGGAATATTTCCAGCTGCTGAATGTAAGTGTTTCCATCTTCCAAACTAGTTTCCTCTTCGATTAAAAAAATGAATCCAAAGATGTGATTGGATTGTTGGATTTTAGAACAGTGACAACAAAAGTAATATTGTAACTAATTATTTTTTGGAGGAGTAACTGTACTATTATAACTGAAATGTATTAGTAATTAGTTACACTACTAGTTACTGGGAAAAGTAATATTATTACTAGTAGCAGCTCTGTGAGGCTGGGCTTAGGCACAGTGGTGCATTGAGCTAAATGCTAAAATCAGCAAACCAACTAGCTCACTTTGATCACATTTTAGTTAAGCATGTTATGTAATGTTAGTATAGCTGGAACAGATATTTGGTCATAAACCAAATAATTGGACAATACAGTTTTGATGTGATGGTACATGAAAGGTTAAGGGATCACCAAAGTTTTTGCAGATCATCCTGGAGGAGACATGAAAGTGTGTGTAACTAATTTCATGGCAATCCATCCAATCGTTGTTGAGATTCCTCAGTCTAGACCCAACCAGCCATTAAAAGTATCATGCTGCATGGCTAAAAAGTGCAATGAGCTGCTAAGTTCTCTCCTTCATAGCACCTTTGCTTATGCACAACCCCTGACCACACACAAGCTCCACTCAACTACACTTTAACACAATATTAGCAACAATTATCGAAGTTGCATGAGTTTTTTTTTAGCTAGAATAAAACATAATAATAATAGTTAGCTAACTGAGGCTAAAAGGTTTTAATTATTACCCTTTAATGTTGTATGGTGTCTTGTTTTGTCACATTTACATAAGATAAGTTGTAGGCATCATCCTAAACTACAAGGCCAAGTCTGTATCTGATCTACACTCAACAGTGTGCTGCTGCAATGCCCCAAATCTTCCCTCTGGCATCATTAAAGTTTCACGTCATTCATTCTTTTTCTTTCTCTGTGTTTCTGCCTCTGATTCCTTCTTTCATTCATATCTGTTTCTAAATAAACATTACTATTAGTATTATTTCTTCAATGTCATTTTTTTCCTTTCATTCCTTTTAACCATCGATCAATTCTACTATCTATCATCTTAGATGTCCCTCCCCGAGGACCAAATATAAGCCACCAAACCACGGCCTGCAGATAAATGAATAACTGTTGTTTTTCCCTCTTTTACCAGAGCAGTTTTTCCACAGGCGTAATTAAGCACCGTTTACGATGTCTGTCCACACAAAACCTTAAGAACAGCATCAAGGCTAGTGACGTCAGTGTGAGTGTGTGTGTGTGGGGTGTGCCCCCCTCAGGAGCAGCAGTCATAACTCATTACATTAGAACTAAAATAACATTTTCCACGGGTCAGTCAACCTTACACTGTGCACACACACACACACGCACACACACACACACATGTGTGCATATAAACAAGCTGGCTGCTCAGAGATAACTGCATGAGCACACACATACACACACGCTTGTTTGCTCATCCATCCATACTGATGCTTAAATTAACCGGCATCCTCAGATTTTTATCTTTCCACATTGCAAATATATGTCACACAGCCAACTTGCAGATTCCCCGGCACATTCCTGTACAGCTCTTCACTTCTTTTATTGAAGTATCCAGCCATATTGAACATTCTTTTTATATTTGTATATATTGGCTGCTTTTATTGTCTCTATTTTTAATTGTTATGCACCAACTTACCAAAGCAAATCCCTTGTATGTGAATACCGATTCTGATTCTGAAAGTCAATGGCTAAGTTAAGAATAACTTTTTTATGAAAGTATTTCCTCTCTTTCTTTGTATCCATTCCTCCCTCTCACTCTACCTTTAGCACCTCTCTTGCTGTCTATATTGATGTTTTTCTTTCTCTTTTTGCTGGACTATGGCTAAGAAGACTGACTGTCTGGCACACATTGTTGAAATGTGCATGCACAATGTTTTCAAGGCGACCCAGTTGGGCACACTTTAAAACCACACCTGTGCTGCTACAGTAGATTTTAATATCACTGTTACTTTATTTCACAAGAGTATAGCAACATATCTGATGACGTTTTGGGCAGACAATCCCAGCAGCTATTTCTTTTGAGGAGAGTCTAAATCTGCAGGTTTCCTCCCTGTGGTTATGCATTCATTCAGTGAGGGAGAACAGGACATTGAGTAGACCACAGAGCAGCCAGACTGAAACAGGGCACTAATTGCAGGAAATAATGGCATATATGAAAATGGCATGGTTTACTTTTTCTGGTCACCCGGCACTGAGGGGCTGCATTCACCATCTGGCAAAACTGTGTTTACCTAGTTCCAATACAATCATGGTATTTCTGTTACTTTCTGGGCATCCCACCTTTCTATTTTCATAGAATTATGTCAACATTTCAATGACGGGTGATTTAATTGTTTTCAAAATTGGTGGCAGGAAATAAAAATGGTGATATTAGTAAGTTCGTGGTTCCAAAAGAAGCTGCTTGCACCAACATACGTGGAGCTGTGAAGCTGGAGTTATTGTGTTTATGCAGATCAGGTGGTGAAGCACAATTTTAGGCCCCTTTTTGGCAGAGTGCATTTCCACATGTCCAGACAACCTCTTATGCAAAGATGTTTGTTGCTTGAATTATTACCAATAATGTCATCTGTTTGTAGAATCAATTTAGTTAGTTAAATACCTGCAGCCATTATAGAACAGAAGGAATACTGTAATTCCCTTCCAACAATGATGTGTTTCATCTGCAGTCTCTAATTTTAGGGATGTGCTTTGTGTAGTCATGCAGGGCGAAGCAGCACATATATATGGAGAATCTAACAAAATAAGTGCACATCCTCTTCTGTTTATTGTTCATGGGGTGTGTTGCAATAGCTCTGCCATGAAAACATAGTCTTGCTTCCTGCATTGCTGAAAGCAACAGGGAATAGCATTGGAAAAAGGCTGTGTGTGGGTGTGTGTGTGTGTGTGTATGCCTTCGCATGTGTAAGGACATATTTGCACAATTACTCTTTGCAGTAGAATCATGTGAAGTTGAAGACATCATGTACCTAACACTACAGCACACAGGATATTCTGTATGCAGCTTAAACGTGTGTGTGTGTGTGTGTGTGTGTGAGGCCCATTGCTGGCTATGAAATATGGATGCTGGTCAGGGTGGAAGCAGGGGAGTGGAAATGTCTCTGATCACTCCCTTTCCACACATGTACGCACACGCACACGCACATGCACACACACACACACACACACACACACACACACACACACACACAAACCACGAGCCTGCACACTGTAGGCTATTTGAACTCAGTACTTTACAGTAAGCTGGCAGGAATTAAACCCCTTCTAGTCCTGATTATACTAAAGGAAATATGCAACTTAAAGGTTCCAAATGTACGATTCTGAAACCTTTTCCTATTATTTTTATGTATTTAGCACTTTTTATCACCAATGTGTGAACAGGTTGTAACGTAACTTTAAGAATGAGACCTTGCCCGACTTTCTTGGTAGCCTGTGGAATGTTTTATTTGCATTTCTATGCAGGGATTTTCCATTTAATTCCAAGGATATGACGTTTATACAGTCTCCCTGAGTGCCTTCTGTCTCGGCTTCACTACAGTGTCAACAGTGTGCAACAGATACAACCACAGTCCAAAAGTCCAAAGTCAAAGCTAACATTTATGGAGCCATTATTGTAGAAAAACTATTTACAAATGTGCGTGGAGAGTTGTGCAACTGTATCTCAATCTGTGTGTGTGTAATCAGATTTGTAAATGTGTAAAATAATCTGTAAATATGTACTTAGATTTGTGAATGTGTACAGGAATCTGCCAATGTGTGTTTAAAAAATCTGTAAATGTGTATATAGATCTGAAAATGTACACACAAATCTGTAAATGCACAGATGAATTGTCTTCTCAGGCATCACTATGTATGTCTGCATTTACAGATTTGTCCACACATTTTCAGATCTATATACACGCTTAACACACATTGGGAGATTCCTGTACACATTCACAAAACTACATACATATTTACAGATTCTTTTACACATTTACAAATCTGATAACGCACACATGGATTAAGATACATTAGACAACTCTCCAAGCACATTTGTAAATAGTTTTTCTACAATAATGGCTCCAAAAACATATCTATTGTAATATTGTAGGCTTTAGCTGGCTAACGTTAACTTGCTTTTGTTATTTCTGTTATTTAAAAACGGCGACATTGACTCTTACAAAATTAATTTATAGCACAACATTAAACCCTGTCACCTTTGGGTGTTTTTCAAAGGACAACAGGCTAAAGTTAGCTAAAGTTCAACACAATACCAGACCGCACTGTATTCTTTGCAGAGTACTGAATAATGAACATGATCTTTTTTTTTTTTTTTTTTTCAAAATGGAAATATCTTGTAACATTTGAAGAGGAAAGCTTCATGTAGTCTTCACATGCACGAACACACACACATCTCCGCATTGAGTTAACCCAGGCAGTGCTGGCAGCGCGCAGTGGGAGCTGTGGGGGTGGAAGGAGGCGAGCTTTCATGCTCCACTGAAGATCTACTGTTGTAGCAATACAACCCAGTAATCATCACTAATACATAACACAGTGCGAACAGTGTGTGTGTGTGTGTGTGTGTTTGTCATCAATTTGCCTATGAATGCCTTTGCCTTTAAATTTAGTGGAAGGATGTATGACCAAAGTCATGCTGGCAGAGATGTGTGTATCTCAATTCAAGCTTGCACTGTATCTTGATGTCAGTATATATGCGTGTTTGTGTGTGTTTCAGTATGTAGGTTTCTTTCTTTCTTTCCTCTCTTCTTTTGTAAAAACAACCATGCTTACCTTGTTAATGAACGGAAACTGTCTTATTCATGTTAATATTTTTTTTATGCTTGTGTGTTTGTGCGTACAGTATGTGATATAAAGCAAAGGATGAGGGTGATACACTAGAGCTATAAAGCACAGCTCAGTCAGGTCTTGAATGTCAATTAAATCACTAGCAAGAGATGACCTGATGTGTGCAAAAGGACTATACGTGCATCTAAACATTACATACATCCTCCAGTGTGTGTGTGCACGTGCTTGTGTGCATGTGTGTGTTTGTCGTCATGGTCAGTGAAGCGTAGAGTTAGGTGATGAGACAGAGAGGTGGTGGTTTGATAGAGAGGACTCACTGTGTTTATAGCAGTAATCATCTCACTCTCGTGCTCTCTCTCTCTCTCTCTCTCTCTCTCTCTCTCTCACACACACACACACACACACACACACACACACACACACACACACACACACACACACACACACACACACACACACACACACACACACACAACACACACAAACACACTCCAGTCCAGTCCAGTTGGGAAGTGTCAAGGCATAATTTGGGTCTTTTCTGAAGAGGAGTTTCCACAGTCAACTGAGCACACTGCACAAGCTTAGGCTATTAGAGCAGTGCAATGTGTATGTGTGTGTTTGTGTGTGTGTGTAAGAGAGAGACAGAGAGAGAGAGAGAGAGAGAGAGAGAGAGAGAGAGAGAGAGAGAGAGAGAGAGAGAGAATTTGTGTGTCTGCATGTCTGCGTGTGTGAGAGAGATAGAGAGGATGTACAATGAAAAAAGCGAAACAGCGGCTTAACAATGAACACTGCAGAGAGAGAAGGACGGGAAAGTGGAGCGTTATGACAGAGAGAGAGAGATGCAGAGAGAGAGAGAGAGAGAGAGAGAGAGAGAGAGAGAGAGAGAGAGAGAGAGAGAGAGAGAGAGACACACAGACAAACAGGGAGAGAGAGACAGGGAGTGAAATAAAGAGAGAGATGGAAGCAGGACAGATAGTGACAGCGGACAATGTGGTTTCACTCCAAATAAATGTTCCCCCACAATGGTTTTAATTATGCAGATAATTTTGATGTTCCTCTCTGTCTCCTTCTCCTCCTCCTCCTTCCTCCATTCACCTCCTCCCTCTTCTTGTTCCTGCATCCTTCCCTCAAACAAATGTAAACCCCCCCAATTCTCTCTTCCGTGAGTGTGTGAAAGAGAGAAAGAGTGTAGAGAAGAGAGGGAGCAAGACAGAAAGAAAGAAAGAGATTTTGTGAGGAGGGAGCAAGGTTGAGCCTGTGAGACAGACAAGGACTTGTGTTGTAATGTGTTTGTGTGGGTGGGTGTGAGTGTGTGCGTGTGTGTGTGTGTGTGTGTGTGTGTGTGTACACTCACCCCTTTACAGATAGCGACAGCCTCCTTGGACATTGACTTGGGATAGGAGACGTGATGCTCCATGATGGACTGAAATAACTCATCCTCATCTTCACCGTCAAATGGAGGCTGGAGAGGAGAGGAGGAGGGAGCAGAAGCAGAGGGCAGGACAGGACAAATAGAGGATATTTAAATTGAATCATTAAAGGCTTTTTCGTCTGAACGCCTCAGAATCAAAATACCGCAGGCCTGTAAAGCTCACACATTCACATTATCCACTCCAAATGAGATATCCAGGATTTGAAAAATGTCACACCTACTCTAACAATTATTAATGCCATGAGAGAAAAACTCATCAAGGGGTATAATTTCATAGCTAACCTTTCATTAAACAACGTCAAATTTTAAAGGCTACGATCATGAGTGTTTGTTTTTTTCACATTTTTCAGTCATGAAACAAATGCTGTTGTGGGAGTCGTTTTAGTAGCATATTCACGCTGTCTCAAAAGATTGACGTAAAGGTCCAGTGTGTAGGATTTTGTGGCCTCTAGCGATGTGGTTGCAGATTGCAAATCTCTCACTTCATCCCACCCTTCCAAGCGTGAAGGAGAAACTACAGTGGTCATGAAAAATGCCCCCTATCTAGCCATTTTTTAAATGGGGGGCACAAGTGGGGCACTGACTTATGCAGGGTTAGGGTTAGCAAAAGGGAGACTTGTGAATAACCAAAGAACCCATTTCCATTCAGAAATCCTGAGGTCAGAAAATGAAAATGGCCAGGCCAGTTTTTCATCGTCAAAATTTTGCCCAATTTTGGAACGTCAGCCCCCTTCCCGAAATGCTAACATGACATAGTACCAATGGATGCGTTAGGTCATATAGTTTCATATATATAGATACCAGTATCTACTTCCTCTGAACGATGAGTGGAAGAGGGAAGGATAATGGGGTTGCACTTGGGGTGGCCAATCAGATTTCAGGAGTGGCCACCCTAGGCACCCCCCAATTTGGACATGTCCCTGTATTTAGTGCCAATATTTCGTTTGTGCCTTCTGGGCTACTGTAAAAAACATGGCGGTTCAACATGGCAGCCTCTATGGAAGGTGACCCGCTCCCTATAGATAAAAACAGCTCATTCTAAGGTAATAAAAACATAACAATCCTTATTTTCAGGTAATTATACACTACTAAAAACATACTTTGGAATATTATATTCCATTTCTGCCAACAGAAATTCCTAAATGTTACACACTGGACTTTTAATTTCTTCTTTTGAACAAGGTTTAATAATTACACAACACAACACTAACCTGTCCAGCCAGCATCTCATAGAGCAATACTCCAAAGGCCCACCAGTCCACAGATTTCCCATAAGGTTGGTAGGCTATGATCTGAAATATAAGAGACTCTGTTTTAAAGTTTCGATAGAGTCTTAAATCATTAAGGCAAAGCAAGGCAGTGTATACAAAGAATACTGGGAACACAAACTAAAATACCTGAAAGAATGTATTAAGAAATGTATTTAAAAGAGACAGAGAGGGAGGAGACACAATATTATTTAAATGTTGAGATAACAGAGTACATTTTCAGATAGTTCCACAGTGTTGCAGTCTGTTTTTTACATAAAAAGTGCCACAAATATTTGTGTAAAGAATGTAAAAAGATAGAGAGAGAACCCCAAAGCCAGCTGCCTGTCTCACCTCCGAACAGCTGGCCAATCACTGCATGAAGTGGGTCTACATGTTGGATTGTTAGTTTTAGAAAGTTACAGAAATGGCAGCCCATTAAAATGCAGCTCCAATGAGATCAAACTGATGTAGGACATTGAATCCTCCACATGCTTAAAGGATAGCTACCAATGGCAGTACTCAAGGTTCTGATAAATTGTGAACTTTAGAGGTGCTGGTATGTAGATTTTGTTTCCTGTGTCCTGTTTTTGTGCTAAGCTAAGCTAACCGACTGCTGGCTCCAGCTACATATATATTGTATAGATGATTTTGTGGTATTAATCTCCTCTAACTCTAAAGCAAATAAGTGTTTTTCCCAAAACGGTTAAACTACTGCTTTGAGGAATTGGGAGTGTATAGTGTATCACTGTGTGCTACATTACGCACGCTCTATAGCAGCTGTGCACTTCAGGATTCACTATAACATGTGAACATACGGCGGGCCAGATACAACGACCAGAGCGCCTGTGATGCCGGCCCACCCACCGTCACGCACACCGCACACACACTCTACCTCAGGAGCTATGTAGTCTGGTGTTCCACAGAAGGTCTTGGTAGTGACTCCATCAATCATATTTTCTTTACACATGCCAAAATCTGCTATCTTAATGTGACCCTCACAGTCCAGCATCACATTGTCCAGCTTCAGGTCTCTGCAGGAGAGAAAAACAACGTTAAAGGGAAAGGACACTCAATTTGATGACCCTACATGGAACATGAAGGCTCATCATCTCAACATTTTATTTTTTACTCTAATTTTTTCTCCTCCTCTGCAATCTCCCTTAATCATTTCACTAAACTGCGGGTTTGATAGGGAACGATGCTCTGCCTGATCCAAAGATGCAGAGCTACAGTTGATGACGTAGATGTTTGTGATGTCATTTGTGGGGGTGGATTCTCTGCATGATATTATATTAACAGCAGAAAGCAGCTAATTGTAGTTGAAGTCTAAAGGTTAAAACCTACTTGAAATTTCTTCAGTTGCTACTGGGGGTGAGTCAAGTACGTCATCCTGTCCAAATATTATAGATTAATGCGCATTATGTTCAGTCCTTGTGCACTATAGAAACAAAACAGGGACCCAATCGTAAAACATTGCTTGATAGTGCTACTAGTGGTGAAAAATTCCACAGAGTGCCTTTAATGAACAAAATTAAACAACTTGCTACTGCTGAGCTTTACAGTCTCTCTATTCAGATTGTGCTGAAATAAACCTGCAGCACTTCAATGATTAAGACACATTACCTGCTTTTCAATCTTGCGTCATAAAAGGTGTAAAAAAATTCTTGGGGTGCTCATTTTAAGTCAAGACCAAATCTACCAATATAATTGACCAAGAAAATACATCCTTTAATAACTAGAGAATCCTCAACAATAAATAATAAAGTTCCTGTGTGAGCCATCTCTGTGACAGGATGTCACTGAGAGAGTGGTAGAGAATAAAATAATTGCAAGAAAGATGGTTATTGCACTAAAATAATAATAATTACTTTATCTGAATATCTGACTTTTATTGGGATATATGATTTGGAGCAGCGGATATCATAAAAATACTCTTGGTCCAGATGATATTATATATGATGATACACATGGTTTGGTGGGAATCTTACCTGTAGATGATGCCCTTTAGATGTAAGAAGAACAGACCAATGGCTATCTCTGCAGCATAAAATCTACACACATACACACACACACACAAAGAGAAACGAAAACAGTAATTAGAAAGAGGCTGAGAGAAAGGACAGGAGGAAAACAGAGGGATCATTTGTGTGTGTATGTGTGTGTGAGAGTGTGTGTCTGCATAAAGGTCAATGCTGTCTCTTCAAGGCCAGAGAGCAGCTGATAAGATCAACAGGAGGAGTCTGGACACACTGACCACGCAGTCAACTATTGTTTGCGTGAGTGTGCACAATCAGTGTCTGTTTGGAAAAGTGAACCTAAAAGATGTCGAGAGCAGTGTTTTGGAGAGCAGCGTGGAATATGCAGGGCCTGTTCGGGGGCTCGTTGGATGTGTTATCTGTGGACAGGATGACGACCGGAGGGCCGTTGCTGCTGCTGCGAGAAGCTAACACAGCTTTAGATGCAAAATATTAAACACACAGGAAGACAAAAGAGACAAGTTCATGGCGTCCTCACCATCATCCACAGAGCAGAATATCCTGACTGTTGTCTAATAAATAAATTAGGCAGAGCAGAACACATTGATGGCCTTAGATAAACGAGGTCTTCACCCTATTCGACTTGCCCTTCAGCACTCTAAACCTTCTGCCAGAGGGAAGAAGCTCTAATTCCCTATAAAGCAGATGAAGGGCAAACTCCTCCACGGCTCTCGCTTTTCCCCCGACAGCCTGCTTGTCAAATATGTCAGCCCGCTGGTTTGACTTGACACCAGCGATCTTCGCCAGCCACCTTAATTATATTCTGCAGTTTTGGAGGTATCCTACCACACACTGAAAACTTGCTGCTGGATTACTCTCATTTCTTTGAAGTTCTTCAGAGCAGCAACGTGCATCGGGGCGAACAACATATTTCACCCCCGGGCTCGGTTGGGATTGCTCATCCATCACCTGAGCCCGTCAAACTGCTGATGGCTTATTCAGTATGATTTAAAAAAGCATTACCAAAGTGTGAAACACCTATAAGCGTGGGATTAAGATTTTGTGTTATGATGGCATAAGAATATATCTTAGCCTTTAGTCCACAAAAGCTGCTTTGCGTGTGTTTGTGTGTGTACTCACACAGCATGAGGCTCTTTGAACTTGCCGACCTGCTGAATCTGATACATGAGATCACCTCCGTTTATGTACTCCATGACAAAATACAAACGGTCCTGCGAAGAGATAGAGGGGCAGACAGAGAGAGACAGAGGTCAAAATGTATGTGTTCATAAATGTAGGTGAGAGATCACAGAGAAATGGGATGATAGCGAGAAAAAGAGATACTGTAGGAAGAAAGGGATTGTTCAGAGGTATACAGAGAGTGATGGGTCAAATGAGAGAAGATTAAAGGAGAGATATAGAAGAAAAATGGAAGGATAAAAAAAATAAGTCTGTGTGTCCAATCGGTCTGCAACTGAGGGGACACAGCAACTTCAATTTAAGAGCTAATTCTCCTCCATTATCTACAGAAATTGCCAATAAGGTACAGTATGTGAGGGAACATGGAGGGATTTGGTATGTGTTCATGTGTGTGTTTGGAGAAAATACTGTGGAATTGTGTTGTGTGTTGGGCCTTTAATGTGTGTCTGTGTGCTAGTCCTCCTTTCATGCACTGCCTGGTGAGTCTTATGAGCAGTTGTTTGTGTGCAATATGTGCTGATGACGTGATTAAAATGCATTTGTGTGTGCGCACTACACAACATTTGGTATGACTGTGTGTATGCATGCATGTTATAATTGCCTTTGTGTGTGTGTTTGTGTTATAACTGCCTGCTAAGTCCCATATGTACAAATCCTCTGGTCAGAGAATTATTGCAGAGGAGGATTAACACACTCGTTCTGGTTTGTGTGTGTGGATGTGTGTGTGTGTGTGTGTGGTGTGTGTGTGTGTGTGTGTGTGTGTGCGGGGGGTCAACTTTGTCTGGTCAGCCTTTAACCACAGCCTCAAATGGATTCCCAACACATTATGTTCATTAATCAATGAAAACATGTACAAATGAGTGTGTTTACTGTGAATGTAAATGACATGTACTCAGTGTAAAGCATAAGGCCAGTGAACTATATTTACTCCTCTGTTGACTCATCTTTAGTGTAAAATGGATTATACGTCACAAGATGAGCATGAATCAAATATGAATCCAGCCTGTGTATTCCAGCTGTGAGCTGGTGACAGCAGGCAGGGTGGCTGCTGTTAAGACCACAGCGCTCACCAGCAGTCCGGTTCTGCCCTTCAGCAGGACACCACACTGTGGCTCCCTTCATATCAAATATAATGTGAAGACCTGTAGGGGCCTAGGAAGGGTGTCAGTTCAGCTTGCAAAGAATGTAAAGTGGATAGTTATTTTGGTTTCTAGTCACTGTGGGTTTGTTTGTGTGCGTGTGTGGGTGGGTGTATGCAACCAACCAAGCTGTTTCACATTAAACAGAAGTTTTAATGGAAAAATGGGAACTAACAGCAAATAAAACACTTAAATAAAGTGAAAATTGAATGGACATTTGTAATTATCTGCTATATGCATCATTTTGTGAAACTGGGCCCAAATCTGTATTTCTAGTGATACTTTGAACAGTTTCTTACCTCATCATTCACTTTTACTTTATCTTACTTTTACTTTAGTATGACAGTGTTACATTTTGTGCATGTTTTGCTGTTGATGTTGAACTTACGTGTGTAAAAATCAGTAAGGAAGCCCCTTCAGAGAGATGTTTGTTATTTAGCCAGCCCTCATTGATATGAATGGGGTGGACGAATAGTTTCATATCTGTCCATTAAAGCTGGGGTAGGCAGCTTTTTTTGACATCACTGGTGAGCAGCTGGTTAGCTTAGCATAAAGACTGGAACCATTCAACAGTTAGCATGGCTCAAATGGTGTCAAAACAAATTTGGGTTTTTGCTGTTTCTTTTCTAAATCTGGTCATCACCATTCAAATTCTGGCCAGATATAACAAATTATTATGTGTCAGTTATGAGCTTTAGAGGGGTAGGTGGATTTTGTTGTGTTCTGATGGAACCATTTCTCCCTGTTTCCAGTGTTAATGCTAAGTTAAACTAACAGTTTGCTGACTGGAGCCTTATACATGGTCATGATATCAACTTACTCTTGGCAAGAGGTCAATTAACGTATTTTCCAAAATGACACACTATTATTTAAGTTGTGACAGTGTTGTTTTTTAAGATATGAAAGTATTTTATACGATATAATACACCTATTGTGAAAATACATTGGCCCACCTACCATGCTCTGGAAGGTGGAGTGCAGCTGTGTTAAGAACGGGGGCTTTCCAGACAACGCTAGCACTCTCTTCTCCACCATGGTGCATTCCACGTCATCATCCTGGATCACAACATCTTTCTTCAGGATCTTTACAGCGTACAGTTCCTCGGTCCCTTTACGCTCTGCCAGCATCACCTAGAGCGAGAAGAGAGGACAGAAAGGATAGATGTGAAACACAAGGAAGATAAATTCATCAATATTCAAAATGTTTACAGCACGCACCTCCTGTCATGCCTTTATACCAACCTCGGCAGAAAGAGGAGCGCAGGGAAGAAAAGGGAGAAAGAGGGACAGGGCAAAGAAGGGATGGAGGCAGAGAGATGTGAGAGGCAGGGAAGCAGGAGAGACAGAAGAGGTATTGCAAAGGGCAGGGACAAAGGAGCGATAAAGAAAGCTTCTCTGACTGTTTTGGGTTAGTCAGACAGTCAAAGTAAAAATAAAAAGACTAAGGACAAGAGGGAGAAAACTGATTCATCTTTCAAGATGTCATCTGAGGAGAGGGCAAATAGGACAAATGGGAAGAAAAAGACAGGACAGAAGGAAAGGAGTTGATAAAGTACTACAAATAGTGATTCCATGTTACTCTACACAAGGTAGATCCAGTAAAATAAATCTTGTTTTCAATTTGTGTCAGACTGCACAATATACATTTTGAGGTATGTCAAATCATCCCTTTATGCTACCCTCGTTTTTGAAAATGCAGCAAAATAAAAAGGCAAGTTTTGGCTGTAGTGCTGGCATTATTATTATTATTATTATTATTATTATTATCATTTTTAACTTTATTCATTCATTCATTTTATTACAGTCATTCCATGCATACTCTGAGTGGCTGGTTTGTGGACATTGGCCATAGCACAGGCCACGCTGTGAGAATTGACCGTTTGTCAAACCCCTTGACAAACAATGATTGTCCAATCATAGCTTTGCAACCATTAGTCTTTTATTTCTCTTATCTCAGCGTCCTCTTTAAAATATGATGATGGCACAATGTGGTCTAATGCTGAGTGGTATTTGTATCACTGTATTTCTTATTATAATTTGCATGATTGGGCCTTTACATAGATTTATAGTGGTTAATTCTACTGTCAGGAGTACATTACATATAAAAACACCCCCAGGCTCTGCTTAATATAGGGTTTTATATAATAATAATATTAATAGGCTACAATATAGGAAGGAATCAGAATGTAAACAGTTTTTCTAGTCCGAGCTGGGTCATAGTAAAAACAGCACTTAAAAATAAAAAAGATATGGCGACAACTTTAACAATGCTTCCTTTTCCAAATAAAATGTTATAAAATAGTTGTATAAATGCTATAAACTCACATAAAATAGGCGGGATAGATTTTCAGCCAACACACTGAGGTAAGCTAGGCTTGATTAGCTAGCTGGCTACAGTTAATAAGAAATAACCATGTACAGAATCGATGGTTGACAGACGGAATTGCTGCTTTTATTTGAAATCAAGGAACCATGGTTTCAAAAACAAGAATTTTGTGTGGTAAACATGCTGATGCATATGCATCACTGAATGTGATGTGTGAGCATGGACAGCTTGACGGACACAGCAACAATAACTAAAAGGCAACTGCAAAGATGGCCATCTTTGGGTGCCGAAGCTGAATGGTGCACACGTTTCACAACAACAAGGATTTCTGCCCAGAATCGCAGTTTATAGAGACCTAAAGTGCTTGCCTTTACTTCACTGAAGAGGAAGAAAAAGAATGAGCAGAGGTTGGATCAAAAGTTTACCATACAGAGCAGGCTTATTTAGCACTTCTGTAAGATTTTTCCATACTGTTCACCTTCTCTATGCCCTTCACAAACACTAGAGAGGAGAAAAAGTAGGAGAGAAAGAGTATGAAGAGAAAGAGAAAGGAAGGGACTGAGGGAGGAAGAGGGGATTATTTCACATTTCTTTTTCTTAAGGGCACACAGTGTGGGGGCGGATGGAGATAAAGGAAGGTGAATGGGTGAGGAGTGTGGGATTTAAAAAAGTGGGGGAAAGATTGAAGGAGGAAGTGAAGGGCAGGAGGATTGGAAGGACAGATGGAATGACATAAGATTGGCAGCAGTCAAGCAATCCAAAAATCCTATTTCTTTTAATTGTGAAGTCTGGAGGCACATCTACACACACACACACACACACACACACACACACACACACACACACACACACACACACACACACACACACACACACACACACACACACACACACACACAAATAAAAGAAACACACACTCACGCCACGGGTGGTGGTTTCGTATATATAATCTGTGGCTGCAGATTCCCGTGGAGGTCGACCAAACAGATGCCCAGAATGAAACCACTATGAGATGCCTCTGCGTTACTGTGTATATGTGTGTGTGTGTGTGTGTGTGTGTGTGTGTGTGTGTGTGTGTGTGCGTGCGTGTGTGCTCAGCAGTTTAAATGCCTTGTAGCCAAGGTCAGACTCATACTGCTTACAGTCTCTCTAACAAAGGAGTAAACGTTTCTGTCTCGTCTTCCTCTCTCAGGTCTTTTGTTTAGCGTATCCTGTTCTCCTCTCCTTTTTCATCACCATTTCTTCTCTCTTGTTTCTCGATTTCTCCCTTTCCTACTTTCCTCTTCCTTCCTCCTCTTTTGTCCTCATATCTTCTTTCCTGAAGAAGCCAGTAGCTGCTGCTGCTGCAAATAGCAGGCAAAATGTAGGTCAAGTCTCAGCTCGCAGGTCATCTCATAAAAGTTGAAGAAGGCTTGTGACCAGGTCACAAAAGTTCAGCTCTCTAGACTGAAATATGTGCGGAGGAAACCTTAATAAAGAGGAGCTTTAAAGCACTAGTTTTGGGAAATGCATTTATTCACTTTCTTGCAGAGAGTTAGACACTTAATGTTACATCCGTCTGTTCAGTATAAGGCTATAGCCATAAAATGTTTAGCTTAGCACAAAGACTGGAAACAATGTCACAAAAACGCTTTTGAGGTGCTTGAAGGTGTATTTTGTTACCTTTGGACAAAGCCATGCTAGCTGTTCCCCCCTATTTTTAGGTCCCAATGCTAAGCTAAGCTAGCTGACTGCTGGCTGTAACCTCATATTGAACGGAGGGACGGACATGACAGTGGTATAATATTGTCGTCTATCTCTCGCAAGAAAGCTAATAAGTGCTTCATAAAATGTTGAACTATTTCTTTACAGTTGATTTTGTAACTAGAGGCACTGTCTGAAAATAACACAACAATCAAGTATTACAAGCTAGTTTTCATACTAGGTTCAAAGAATAGACAGTATGTGCACAGCGAACCATTTTAACAGGCTGGATTCAACCATTTTAATAGTGTGCAACTTCATTTTTATTTTGAATTTAGATTAAAGCTCACAATGTCAAGCGTGCCATGTCTCTCTTTACTTTCATTGTGACAGTGAATTAATAGCAGAGACGTCCCTAAGGCTCTAGGCCTCAGAAGAACACAGGCAAATTGTCACAAACTGAGGAAAGTTATGTAACTTATGTAAATGATCAGCACAGATAGAGCTCTTTTCCACATGTTAGACTGCGTAGCCTTCCTCTTCCTATCATTCTAAAACTAATACAAGTACTTTAAACGTTTTATCTTAAAACAAGGCAGTGAACGGGCAAGAAGAATGTGGAAGAAAAACGGCTGAGCTTTACATTACATGGCTAGCGTGGTGTGTTTGTAGTTCCCGCGAGGCTAATTGAGTTTTGGGACCTCAACAAAGGATCTTTCATCACTTGTATTTCATATTCAAACCTTTTATTACATTTCTTATGTTGATTTGCATAAAACACAGGGTGAACCTAGTGACCCCAAACTCATGCAACTGCTCAAATGCTCATGTTAGGCTGAGTTTGATTGATTTATTGATGTGTTTAATATGCCATTCCTCTGGTGAAGCAAGCATTGTGTAGATGAAATGCCACAGGCTTAATCTCCACAGTGAGCTGACATATTTTACGTTTGCAAACGGAAACATGTGCTGTCAAATGCAGAGTGAGCAGAACTACTACCTGCTCACTTGTTATAAGCTGCTGTAGATGAATGTTAGCTTAATGGTGTGAAATTAAAAAAACGCATCACACTCATTATTCGTTCCAAAACCGCCACGAATAGAGCAAGAAAAGTGATCTCATATCTACTTATTTTTTTCCCCCCTAAGAGATTAGAAACTTTGCAGCTTTGCTGTTTATGCCTTATAAATATTCAGGCATGATAATGTGGAGAGGTTATTGGGTTTGGGATACTACAGGGAGTGCAGCACAGATGGACAAAGACATACAGGTGTATATGTGTGTGTGTGTGTGTGTGTGTGTGTGTGTGTGTGTGTGTGTGTGTGTGTGTGTGTGTGTGTGAGGGTGTAAATGTGTGTTTGCATAGAGGGCAGCCACAGTTCAAGAATATGAATTCCAATCTTCAGCATTAAAGTTTAGATATCTGTTGAAGTTGGATTGAAGCTGGAGTGTGTGTGTGTGTGTGTGTGTGTGTGTGTGTTGTGTGTTTGCAGAGACTCATCACATATGGTGGCAGTGTGACTCTATGTAAATACAAACTCTATAAAGTTGAAACAGAGAGAAAGGACACCATCTGGTCCAAAACACATTTTATGCAACGACAAGGACAAGATCAACACAAACGAAAGAAGACATTAAACCACAGGGTTTCATCCAAAATCCAAACGCCTCTGCAGACAAAAGGACAAAGCAACAACCAGAGTATTTTGGCATCATTACACACACTCCGTGGTCACATTTCACACATTATACCTTTTATCTTTTGTGTGTTACCTGATGCCTTTAGCTTCTAAATTACATGATCTGATCAAAGTTCAAGGTCATTTTGGTCACTGTGTTATTCATAAACTGCCTACTCTACTATGAATTGTGGCGTTTGTCAGCATCGGCAGTGCCCTTTTATCCAAGAAAGTTGTTCAGGGTCATTTGACAGAAAAGCAGTCCTCAGGATATTAACTGTCATATGTCGTAAATGATGCCACTGTGTTTTCTCTGCTGACCTTGCAGAGTGAATTTACCCAGGGAAAACTAATGAAACCACACTCCACTGCACTGCTATGTTGCATTACACTGGGCTATGTTGTATTACTCTAAACTGTCATATATCATACTGACTACATAGTTTGATCATATCCACAGCGTCAGCGTGTATTTCCTGTCCAGCCCCATGCAGAATCAGAATCCTATGCTGTGGCCTTCACTGTCACCAGATCTCGGCCCAATTAAACACCTACTCTATGGGAAATTTTTCAACTACATGTTGTATAGCGCTCTCCAGCACCATCAACAAAACACAAAATGAAAGAATATATTTTGGAAGAATGGTGGTCATCCCTCCAGAGACTTGTAGAATCAATGGGTGCATTGAAGCTGTTCTGGTGGTACGTGGTGGCCCAACTAGACACTTTATGCTTCCTTTACTTTTTGACCCGTCTATATTAGAAAAACCATATAGCATAACAGTAACATGACTAGCTGGTTCTGGCGTTGTGCAGGAAACTGATCTAATTAGCCTTCTCTGTAGCTGCCCCCTCCTTCTGGAACTCTCTCCCCAAACAAATCTGTGACTGCACCGACCTTCCAGCGTTCAAATCATTGACAAAAACTCACCTTTTTAAAATTGCTTTTAATGTTTAGCTTAGTCCGATGTGTTTTTAGTGTTTTTACTATTTTATGTTGTTTTTGCTGCTTTTATGTTGTCTTTATGTAAAGTGTCTTTGAGTATCCAGAAAAGCGCTTATAAATAAAATGTATTATTATTATCATTATTATTATTATTATTAATTAGTGCCACTAGGTAATGCATTCGGTCAGAGAGGTTAGGCTTTAAGCAGCGAGACTTGGCTTTAATTCACGTAACACAGATATGAAAACATGAAAACACATTAACATATGGTAATTAATGCAACTACATACATGTGTGTTTCTGCATGCATGCTTGTGGTGTGTGTGTATAGAGACATGACAGGTTGAGGCATGCACCTGCCTGTGTCTGCCCATGAGATGTGTGAGTGTGTTATAATCACACTGTAAGCATGTCCACAGAGAAATGTAAGCAACAATGTTCTGATGCAGATGTCCACAGACACTAAGGCAGCTCTGAAGGCACCAGCCTCCCACACAAAAACTCAGGAACCATTAAATTGACACACACACACACACACACACACACACACACACACACACACACACACACACACACACACACACACACACACACACAAACACACATACACACACACGTCATCACATGAACGCCTGTTGTGCATGTGGTAACGTGTGTGTATCTGCGTACATACAATAGGCCAAAATGAGGAATGTGTGTGTCTCTGTATGTTCCAACACCAGCTGCGTGTGTGTGTGTGTGTGTGTGTGTGTGTGTCTACATTTTGTGTGCATACAGAAGGTGTGCACTCATGCATATCTGTGCATGTTTCTGTGTGTCTCCATGCGTGTGTGTGTCGGGTATTCCAGTAATGATCGACCCTCGACTCTCTCCACATTGACGCATCAGTGTTGCTTTAAATGCCTGTTACCATGGAAACAGGCTGCCGGCATACAGGTCTGGTACACAGACAATGGTCTCTCTCTCTCTCTTTCTCTCTCTCTCTCTACCCCTGCTGCTCTACCAGTCGTTTACCCAATTTTCTCTCTCGCCACATCTTCCCATTCTTTCTGTTTCTTGCCTTGATTTTCATTCATTCATGTCAGTCTTCCCTCTCGAAGGCCTCCCCCTTCTCGCTCCCTCCCCTTCTTTTCATTCAGTCTGACGTTTTTACCTCTCTCTCAATTCATTCATGTCAACCTTGCCGCCATGCTCTCACATCTCTGTCTCCCTCTCCTTTCATCTCTCTCTCCACTTGTCACGTCATCCTCTTCGTCTCTCTTTCCCTTCATCCATCTCTGTCTACCTGTGCTTCATCTCCTTTAATTCCTTCTGTCTCTAGCTTCGCTTTCTGTCCGTCTTTTCTTTCCTCTAAGCTACGTGTGTGGATACAGAGCTGTGATGCTCGAACACACACAAATGCTCACAGACATATTCATCACAGCACACAACTAGAACCAATATACTTGTTTTAACTTTGTCTTTGCATACGCATGATGGCTACCACACATGTAATACGTTCCCTGGGAGCATTGGGTGTGTGCATCCTTAAAAATGAGTGTTATATCTACAATTAAGCCGATGAACAGTTGGGGCAGTATGTCAGGATGTGAAGTAAGGTCAGCAGCATACACTTAAAAAACGACAGCAAGCTTCGAAGACAAACTAACATAGTGTGTCGCCATTGCTGGGTTGTTGTTTTTTTGCTGTTATCTTAAAGCAAGACTGTAGCTTTTGAAAGACGTCTATGCAAATATACAGTAATACAATAAAATATGCACCTGTGGCAAATACATAGTAGAAGACGGGACAGACATACAAACGCCATGGCCTCACCTTGCCAAAGCTGCCCTTGCCCAGCACCATCAGGAAGTTGAAGTCAGACAGCTTCATGCGATCTTGGTTGCCATTGGAGTCGAACCGTGATGCAGCGTTGGCCGACTTGCCTTCTGAGTTCTTGCCTGGACCAATCTTAGCCCTCTAGATGAGAGGAAGAGAAAAAAAGAGACTACAATAGACACACCTTCCAACATTCAAAGAAACCACAGGCTGTAAGTGGACTAATAGAGGTTAAGTTGGCCCATAACTCTAATATAACTAGGCGTAATAAAATTAAATAAAAAAATTGGCCAGCTGATGATTGCGGGGCCTTTCAACAGTATTTGTTGAGGTAAGTAAAAGATGTACTACTGACTTTTCTTAATCACATTTTTCCCATTGGTCCTGGGATTGAAACCAGCCACCGAGGTACTATTTGTAGCATTTACTTGTTAATAAAAACTAATATTTTCACTAATTTGAAACACTATCTAGTATCATAAACTCAAGCTTTCAGATATTTCCATAATAGCAGATGTGAGGAAAAAGCCAGTTAGTTATATCAGTTAAACATTCATCTCTTTAGAATGTCCCCTAAACGTTTAGAGGCACTTTCTCAAAATTTTAATAACACAGAGAAAACATTTTTGGAAGTGGAAATGATAAATATGTTTAAAAGATAAGTTTTTAGCCTTTTGTTCCTTCTATGCCATTTATTCTGTGCAGGCACTTTACACTCCACTTCACACTTTCCATTACTAATATGGCCTCCCTGTGAGTCTGCCACTCTGTTCAATCATGACTGTTGTCACTTCTTTGTTTCTGTCCTTCAACCAATCTCTCCCACTCACTCAGAAAGTTTGTAGCCTCTCTCTTTTCTCTAAAATTCATTCCTACTTCATCTTTATACATTTTACCTGTGTCTCTGACTCTCCATTTGTTCATGCCTGTCACCACTTCCCTGTCTCTCTTCTCTATTCACTCTGTTTCATTTCTAGCTCTCTCAGTTCATTCGGCTCTGCCCTTGACCTCGTCCTGTCTGTCATAAGACACAATTATATTCTTAAAATCTAATCTAATGACAATCTTATTCTCCACTTTGTTAAGCCATGCTTCAATTTAAAAATCATTCTTAAGACATTAACAAAATGCCTGCACTCTCACAGGTGCAGGATGAGTACATCTTATCCTATCTTATTTCAAATTGCTGATCCACACTGAAGCTATCTGCACTTCTTCTGTCCTGTGCAATAATTTCTCCATTGCCTTGTCTTGAAAATTGTGAAGCATCCAAGTACTCTGCCGCTCCCTCCACTGTTTGTTGAGTGTTGTGTGTTCGTGCATGTGTGCGAGTGGTGCAACCCATACGGTTCTCGACTCATCAATGGATAAAAGGCTCTATCTGTCTCCATCTGTTCTGACACACACACACACACACACACACACACACACACACACACACACACACACACACACACACACACACACACACACACACACACACACACACACACACACACACACACACACACACACACACACACACACACACACACAGGAGCAGTCGAGGTATTTGTGAGCAGCAGAGCATGCTGAAGGCAACACTCTTAAAGCCTTCAGAGACTAATGCTGCTCTCTCTGCTGCCTGTCTCTCTGTCTACAGCCATGTGTCCAAGTCCAGAATCAGATACATGGACACTGACTTAAGGTGGTTTTTGCTTTTGTGGATAATAAGTATTTTATGCAAACCAATCATCCGTCTCATCCCAGTTACAGTCCTGATGCAGCCTCTGTAGCAACTAGAACAGACAGCTTAACTATTTAAAAACTATTTCTAGCAACATTTAGCCCTTTTTACTGACACAACTACTGCTTCTGATTATATAGTTAGCATCCAAGATATCAGTGCACCTCCATGACACATAATGCATAACATTTAGTTTGCTCCAACCCATAGACATTTAGCTAATTCCTACAGTATTTTTTAATAAGAAAAGTTGGTGGTCAAGTTTGGTAATTATAGTAGAAACATGTTGTGTATCTCTTAATTCCAATAAATCTCCCACTGTCTTTACATCTGTCTCTCTCTCTCTCTCTTTCTCTCTCTCTCTAAAGACAACAGTCCACCATCCTTTTTAACAACCCCACCCCCCCGCCACACACACACTCACGCACGCACGCACGCACGCACGCACGCACGCCGCACGCACGCACGCACACTTCCATTCGACTTAGATCCCTGTAAGTGTAGAAAGAGAAGTGAGATAGAAACAGGGACAGGCACAAGAAGGACAGAGAAGGGAGGAGGAGGAAATGGAGAAACAAAAAGAGTGAGAATGAAAAAAAATAGAAGTTAAGGAGGAGTGAGGGAGGGAGAAGAAAAAAAAAATTGATGGAGAAATAGTGACAGTGAAAATGTGTGTAGTATGTATCATTTAGTTTCCTGTGTTTGGATGTGCTTTGGATCAGAACTCCATGCTAATGAAGCTTGATTAAAGCATTCAATTAAAACTACTCTGCTCCTCAACTTTCTCTGAATAACGTTTTGAGTTTGACTGTGTGTGTGTGTGTGTGTTCATACGACATACATTATTTATTACTGTGACTGTTGTGTGATTCTGGATCGGGTGAATGGAGGCATGCAGGTCATGTTACCAAAGTGAAATCTTCCTCTGTCTGTCTTTGTGTCTTTCTTTTTCTGCCATCTCTCTGACGGCCTCAGCCTTGAAGATTCCTACATTCTTGTGTGTTTGTGTGTGTGTGTGATAGCTGGCCCCCCGAGATTGTGTCTCAGTGAATGTCTGAGGACCGTGACCTTGAGGAGATGGAGGGAAAGAAAAACAGATAAAGAGAGAGAAACACACAGGGGGGCACTGAAGGTGAAAGAGGACAAAACAGATAAGTGAAGGAGAGAAAGGGAAGCAAAATGAAAAAAGGGGGGGTAGACCGAAGAGAAGACTACTATACTTCCCCATAAAGCCAACATCCAGGCTCTTAACTAACAATGAAAATAATGTTATTTCATAGCAATCATCTCAAACTACAATTTGTTTCAACTGATTTCACCATTGAACAAGTAACCACAATATCCCACTACCTTAAAAAATGCAATTTTGAGAGTTGTTAAGTGAGAAACTCGACAAAAAAAACCTTGTGTAAAACCTATATTTTGTTTCACCTACCAATGGAGATTTAGAGGTCCTTCCAGACTTTGCGCTAAGCTAAGCTAAGCAAACTGCCTGTTGGCAGTCCTCTAACCACAACTGAAGCTGAGCTAAGGGACGGTGAGAAAACAAAGGTATTATTGCCCCAAATGGCTCCACTTAACTCTGTGATCAACACATTTCAGAATGACTCTGATGTTTTGTGGCCTAATGTCAGCAAGACAGAAGGAGAAGCGGAAAAGAGAAAAAAAAAAGTGGAAAGGCACAGAGCAGGGTTATCCTCTCCACTGCCAAATGTGTTAATGAGTGGGCCTACTGGTCAGCCACACACACACACACACACACACACACACGTCTGGACCTGCAGTGTGCCAGACCGGATGGTACTACAAGTGTGCCTGCCAACTGCTAACAGCTCTCCCAGAGAGGCCCTCACTCAGACACACAGACGCACAGTGTATACACACACACACACACACACACACACACACACACACACACACACACACACACACACACACACACACACACACACACACACACACACACACACACACACACACACACACACACACACACCTCAAATTTCTGCCGTAGCTCCTCGTTGCCCTCCTCCCCTTCCGGAGCAACAGGAACATTGAAGTACTCGCCTTCTTCCTGGGAGAGCAGCTTAAACCTGAAGAGAGAGAATATTTCCAGTCAAATCAATTCCCAATTAGTTTATACAATTTAAGTGTTTAACTGCTGCCATTAGCTGAAGCTGCTGACAGTTAGCGCACCGATTTAAAGTCCCAAAGAATAATCGGCTGATTATTTAGTAATTCACTCTCCTTCATGGTGATCTAGCAAAGCCTGACAGAGATGGGCCCAAAACGCAGTGGAGATGCTTATCATTTAACAAAATCAATGAATATAATTTTTCTTATTGGCCTCATTACAAATGATGCCGCAACCTCACAGCATCACCACCATATTCATAGTAAATAACATTGTGACGGTGTGTGTGTTTATGCTTTAGTGACACAGATATCGGTGTTTTACTTTTACGCAGTTGATCCTGTTTCATTCCGATTTCATCTTCTCAGAAAATGTGGCTCCTGCTGGTTGAGCAAGATTCCTGTTGTATTCTTTTCAGTGACTTGATTGCTGTGCTACCAACACACAACAACAGTTTGAAATAGATTTATGCGGCTGCTGTTGACAATTTACCAACCTGAGAAGGAGCTTAAGATCCTGAAGCAATCAGACATTTTGACTTGAGTGTTCATGTATGTTACTAGCTGCACAACACACACTGTAACTAACATGAATCCTTTAAATACGTTCATGCACCAAAGGGCTGTGTCTCACTTGACACCAGCAGTTTGGGCCTTTGTTGAAACTTAGAGGAAAGCATCCAGTAATTTATATTTGTCTTTGTATCAGATCTGTACCTCAAGAGGTTATAGTTCATATCCCTAACTTATTGTAGTTAAAATATTATCAATATTATTAGAATTTTTTAGCAATTAGTGTTTTTAGGTGATAAAACTGGCACATTCTCTGAACAAATTTTGAACAGAGGGCACCTGTGCAACATTTTTCCATCTTAGGGCTCTATTTTTATAATTTACTCGACAGCCTCGCCTGGGTCACTTGGATATAGGCGGGATCTGAAAGTATACGTTATACATACAAGTGGGTTTGTCAGAGGCCAATCACATTCATGACATTAAACAGCTCTCTCCACCATTAAACACTGATAGTTTAGGAATCCTGTGTTTTCCCTAGATTGTGTGCAGGGTAGCATTAATGAATATAACAGCTCAAATATACTTCAAAGAGCAGTAAGTTTATAATCTATTGTTAAGGTAAACATATTGATTATAGCCACTTTACAGATGATTGTAAATCTTGGTTCGGAAGCCTTTGCACTGTGGAAACATCTAAAAGGAATGAAAGGTGATCAAACACTGCAAACAGATTGCAGTTCTTCTTTTAGACAGTTGATTTTTCAGCCAACAATTCAACCTTCAGCTGGCTGTTTAGATGAATGACTTGTAATAAATACTGAGCCCTATTACTGATCTCAGTTTGCTTACTACATAAATTAACATTATATGAAATTAACAACAGAACTAAAGTACGCTGTCAGTCCAGGACATTTTTGTGAAGCTGGATAGCCATTTTCACATGTCAGTAAAGTAAGATTATGTCACAAGTTCAACTCTTTTACATTATTTCCTCCCATAGAGGGCCATAACATACAAAAAGGAAGGAGTTCAGCTTTAAACCTCAGCAGTCATGTTCATGTCACTCTCACTCTGTTCCTCCTCCTGGCTGCTGGTGCCAGCGCCAGCAGGTGTGAGGCTTTGGAGGTGCACATAGAAAACACACACACATACACAGGTTCTCTCTGCTCTGAATATCAGCCTTTTAATGGCATCTCTCTCGCACCTCCACCATTCTACCTCAAAGCTGGCATCTCATTAAAAACCCTGACAGAGCAGCGTCAGCAAAAAGAGAGGAAGATAGAGAGATACAGAGACTGAGCTAGAGAGAGGGAGGGAGAGGGAGGGTGGTGGAGAGATAAAGAAGAAGAGATAAAGAGACAGGGTAGAGATTCTTTGGCACAGAGTATCACCAGAATAAAAAAGAGAAGCTCCAACTAAAGTATTTCTCCAACAGTGCAGTAATGAACAAGGTCACCTTCACTCTCCCTCCTCCTCTACCTGTGCTGTTTCTCTGCCTCACGTCTCTCCACCCCCTCCTTCCATTCATCCATACATCCATCCATCCATCCCTCCTTTCATCTCACCATCCATCAACTCCTAGCTTCTGGAGCTCCGAGATGCCGAAGGACAGCGATCCCATGAAGTCATTGCGGCTAGTCAGGTCCCAGTCCCACACCTCCACTGACAGACGGCGGTCCTTATCGTACTCCTTCAGGTGGCTGTGAGTGAAACAAGGACAGTCAACAGTTGGATGTTGGCTGACAGTGATGCCTGTGGATGTTATTTTCATAGTTTGAACATTTCCTTTTAAGTTTTTAACTTTTAAGCCACATGACAGCATTCTTGGATTAATCATTTCCAAATATAAGAGACATAGCCTCCCATCTAGCCTGTGTTACATTCAGGGTGCATTCAGACCCCATATTTGAAGCAGTTTATTAAAACTCTGTTATAGGAAAGGTGCAAAAAAAGCCTTTCAAACTGAACATCTGCACCCTGCAAATCTTCTTCCAAGCAAACCGTGATGCAGCTTATTAAGAATGTAATTGGAGCCAACTGCAGGAAACAAGCCCAAAAGGAAGGTTTCCTGAATAGAAGGAGCCAGATGTTTTTATCTGAGCGCCAGCGGTTACACATGTGGAAAGCCGAGCATAATGTGATCCTCTTAAAAACACTGTACTGAACGAGAGAGAGATGAAAGAGAAGAAACGCAGATAAAATGGGCAAAGACTTAACAAAATGGAAGAGGTAAAGAGGAAGACAGACAGAAAGATAAATAACACAAGAGACCACCAAACATGGTGTATTGAAGTCTTACAATTTAAAGGTCTCATTCCAGACGGGGTTGAGGTTGCACTTTATGGTCTTGGTCTTCTGTTTACTCTCGCTGCGGGGATCTGGGATCAGTTTAAGCTTCACGTAGGGGTCTGATAGACCATTGGGGTCCATAGGGACCAGATTTCTGCCCTCTTTGACTGTCGGGGGAGGAGGAAAGAAAGAGGAGAATGAGATGGGAAAAGAGAGGGAGAAGATGAAACAAAAAAGAGAGAGATGAAGTCAATTTGATTTCAAATAAGCATCAGCAACAATGACAATCTGAAATTGAAATTGATTTTTTCTAGCAAACCAAATCATGACTAACTGTCCATTAGGAAAAATAAAAGACACAATATTATAAATCTATAACATTTAACTGGTATCCATTTTGTGAGACAAACAGAGACACACTGGAATACAGTACAGAGAGAATCATGAATTGGTTTACCTTAAAATATTATGTAATATTAATCACTTAAGTAAATCAAACTAAATGAACAATAATGTAACACATTTCTTTACATTTACTGTACATATTTTAACAACAATTTGGTTACTTTATCAATCATCACCTTTTTAGTTTTATTTACTTAAATGGGAACGGCAATGGGAAGGGAACACCACTTGCTGCATTTCCAAACTTCCTACTTTGAACCTCATGGACAACAACAACTATTGGAGAAGCTGGTATGGACTCTCTGCTCCACTTTGTGAGACATTTTCACGCTTGTATTCACACTCCGCACTAGGTAAGTATATTCAAACACACCTTCATTATACTTGGCCACATGACCTGGAGCAATTGTGCCATTAAATGAGGGTCTTAGGATTTTATGCAGAACCTGGCAGTAACTTATCAACAGCTTCATTCATTTGAACCCATATTAGGTTGGCAGCTTAATTTCAAGTCTTGTGTGTGTATGAGTGTGACCTGAATTCGGGGAGAACTTTCCTGTCAGTAATCTACTTAACAACAAAACTCTCCCCTGACACCAACAAATTTAATTAGGCGTGGTAAACTTGAGGCAATGGAAAACACACACACAAACACACACCAGGACCCTAGAGTTGTATCGGAGGTTAAAGTCTTGAGGTTGCTAGATCTGTCTGTAATGACCATGTAGACAGACGAAGGTTGCCAGTTCCAACACTAATCCTTCTTTTGTGGCCGTCTGTTATTGGGCTGTAATTGTATTCCAGTGGCGTAAAATCCCCCACGACTGGAGTGTGTGAATGTGTGTGTGTGTGTGTGTGTTTGTGCACAATTATTGTTGCTGGTCAAGTTGTGAGGTCACATCCAATTACCACAAGCAGGGTTGGTGCTGCTGTGTCTTAGGCAACTCGCTAGGGAAGCACTCAAGAACATAAATGCACACACACACAAGAACCTTTCCCACCCTTCATACAAACACCCACACCCACACCCACACACACACACACACAGCACAAAGTACTTAGCTGATGTAGCTCAATAATTGTGTTCTGTGGAAAATGACAAGCATAAAAATGGCGAAGGTAGTTGTGTTGGGGCAAACAGTCACATCAAACGGGAGGGCAACGCTGCAAAACTCCTGACCAGGAGTTAGATTCATGAGCCAGTGTTGTTCATAGAAGAGACCAACTCACTGGTTCAAGTTGGTGCCTCTCAGCTTCACACACCTGCTCTGGCTTCTCCTCGCCAGAGAGATGACATTACTTATTTATCACCTTCAAATCTGATCTGATCCTGCCCATGATCCAAATATCCATTTACAAATGCAGGAACCTATAAAAAAACTTCTCTCGGCATCTCAATTTACTAAGTAAAAATGTGGTTCCCACTTATAGTTTATTTTCCTGTGCTAAAGAAAGGTGCAGTGACGAACCAATCAAGACTTATAAACATGAAGCCATATGGACTGACATGTTACTGATTCACTGGACCATTTTAAACTCTTGTTACTAGAGGTCCTCATTGAGACCTGACCCTGGACCTGAGCTGGGCTGTGTCCACACTTTTTTCAGTGTAATCAGTCTAATTGTGTGGTGCCAGCGTCTCAATGGGTCCAATACCCAATCTGCTGGCCGTGTTGGTTTGTTCCATCTCTAATTGGGTCTGTATGGCCGACAGAAATTCGAAACCAGTCTAATCGTCCTACGATGGTCTGTTCCAGATATCAAATTTTTTCCTTTCTAGGGTCCCTTTGAGGTTCATTTCAGACCAGACCTTGCATCATTAGTACAGCACAAACACGGTGTGAGGTGGGGTGAGTAAAAAAAGGTAATTAGGGTGGCAAGTTATACTGCACCTAAATGTTTAGTGTATCTTTCCTGATAGTCTGACAGGCAAAATGAAGAAATATTTAGATTTGAGTATTAGATGAGACTGCAAGTGGACTTCATTTTACAGATTACAAACAGGGGCTGCTTGAGATAGAGAAGGGAGGAGACAACATGTTGTGTACAGCAAATGATGGGGGAATGGTGATGAATTATGAAAATCACACCTGTCACATAATAGGTCCTTCTAGTATTATCACCACAAATGAAGCTCACCTGAGTTCACCTGAAAACAAGACTTTTCAGGCTGTCCCTTACATGATGTGAACACATGGGTAAAACAACTGTTCCTCAGTGGCTACTGAAAAAAAAACTAAAGCACACTTTTAGAACAAAAGTCAAAACGCTTTTTTACAATTAAGAACTGAGACGCAAAGCTCTCACAGCTGCGGGGAACATGCCACATCTTTCTTCAAACCATGACTGAAAGGAGAGCTTCCCAGCAAGCTCGCAGCATGAGAGAACCTCAAGAAGTCAGAGAACTTAGGTTTTCATGCTGTTAAGGCGCTATGCTACGCTAAGCTGCAAGAGGTTAACCACAGCATAGACCCAATGGCCAGCATTAAACCCTCAGCGGAGCAGGTCAATAAATATTAGATGATGCCTGTTAAAGTGACCATCAAATGCTGGTTGAGGGGAGCCATAAAGAGGGTAGCATGCCAAATAGTCTCATAGGACACTTACAGTAAATAGAGGAGGGTGTGTGTGTGTGTGTGTGTGTGTGTGTGTGAGTAGATCTGCTTGTGCATGCCCAGGTGTGTAACGTGCTTGTGACTATGTATGCATGTGTGAAATTCTTGCTTGTGCACAGTTTGTGCAAATTGCAAAGAGCACGTATGGGCCCTTGTACAGATGTGTGTGTGTGTGTGTGTGTGTGTGTGTGTGTGAGAGAGAGAGAGAGAGAGAGAGCGAGGGAGAGAGATAACGTGTGTATTTGAGTCTACAGGGAGGGCAAGTGGAGATAAGAGTGCAGAAACAGCAGAATACTGTATGTGGACATCAGCGTGGGTGTTGGCAGTGCACCTTTTCCCATGTGAACTTGCCTCATCGGAGTCTTAGTAGGTTTCTTATGTTCTGTCCAACCGCCGCTTGCTGGAATGTGTGCTGGAAAATTCGTTTATCCAGATAATTTCATCCTGGCGATGTTGAAACGGTACTGACAGCCATGCCGAGCACATTTACATGTTCAGTTTGTCTGGTCCACTGCGTACGAGTGTGACGCCAAGAGGCCTGATAAAGAGTCTACATCTACTCCTGTAGAACAACCACAGAATGAGTTTAATGGGTCTTAATAGACAAATGTTGACTTCATTTCAGCTACTATATTCCTACATGTGTTGCCAACACCAGAGAGACCATTTGTTCTGACTTTTAACTCTTCCCTCTTAGATTCACACCTACATACAATATGCATTCTGTTAACACAATAACTTATCGAAGGCACTAAGATATAACAGGTGTTGTCTGTCTGTCTCCAATTTTCAATCGTCTGAAAGAGATTCTGCTGTGTCCATTCTGTTATGGACATTTTGGGTAAACAAGAGTCTCAATAATCTCTTATTGCTTGGTTTGGCTGGCATTTAATGCATTTAAGTGAAACTATTGACATTCTATTGAAGATTTTCTTATTGCTATTTGCTACTGATGAAGTGTCTATTATATGTAAATGAGCTCGCCATATACTCAACAAAACTCCAATTTAGCCGCTATGTGTAAATACCTGAATGTATGTACAAATGTGCTGTGTTTAGATGCCTATCTTGTGTTAATATAGTATACGTATAAGATTATGTACAGACTGTGGCAACAAATTGTGGCACAAATTTCTAGGAAAGGACAATAAAGAATCTATCTATCTATATCACTCCCATTTTATTGCCCAGTTATCCTGCCTTTTGAAACATTTGTGCCCTCTAATGTAGCCGTACAAGCTTGTTCTTTTATACTCCAGCTATTAGGCAGTACCAAACAAAGGGGTCACCTTTAAAGGCCCCAATCCCAGGTCTGCATTTTCCCTTCTGGAGCGTCCTTGAGCTAGATGCTGATCCTCCATCTCCATGGGCCCTGTTCTCCCACTGACCCAGAGCTCTGATCTCACAGTGAAGGGGTGGGAGGTGACTTACTAAAAAGTGATCAATAGTGTCACTTTACACCCATGCTTTGATCAAATCCACAACTAGTCCACAGCACAGATGCATCTGTCAGTGTAGCAGCCATTTCCAGCAGCTCCTGCTATGTTAAGCTGTAGAATAATTCCTAGTGGGTCTTCAATTCATTCTCTGTGGTGGTGTTTTTTTTCTCCACCTCACTGCAATAGAGGGAGCAAGCTACTGATGGCTCCACACTGACCCCTGTGGACAGAAATGAGCACTACACCTCTTATTGCCTCATATTATTGCCTTTAAACTATGGATTTTATCACAGCTGGCTGAAAACAGGAGTGTAACACAACATCACAGTATTTTCTGCACAGAAGATTTAGTGTGCAAGTAGTAAAAAAAACATTTGTATCTGTAAAGTACCAACTACAGCTTAAAGATGAATGTAATGGAATAAAAAGTATTGACCTCTGAAATGTAATGGAGTAGATGTATAAAGTAGCATAAAATGGAAGTCCCCTTAATGTGTGTATTACTTAAGTTAAAATATACTTACATTACATTCCACCACAGACCAGTCTATATAACATAATACCATTAACTGTTCATTTTCCGGTTTCCAGTTTCTACAATTCAGCTGTATTTTATTCTATTCTGTTCTATTATGTAGCACTTGTGAGGTTTGGCCTTTGTTGCTGTTGTAGCAGTCTCTGTGTGATAAGTCTGCTCGCTTATCATTTCCCACAGTAAATCCCAGCTAATGATCAGTCTACGAGCGTGGGAACCAGGAAGAGAGAGCAAGAGAGCAAGAAAGAAAAAGAAGAAAGAAAGCCAGTAAAAGACCACAAAGGGAAAATACTTTTACATGGAGAAATGGCTACATCCATTGCACGTATTGTCTCTTTTTAATAAGCTCTCATAATTATTTTACTGGTTTTTAGTGGAGACATTTTCCACTGAGGAACACATCTTGTATATTGATTATATGCAATCAATATATGTGTAATACCAAAGGAAACAATGATTTCTGACTTTCACAGCAAAACTGAAAAATCGTATTTTCTTTCAACATCGTATTTTCAAAATTTCTATTAAGCTACATTTAATTAGTAATTACTAAGTAGCACGGGCAAAAATAAATCAACTAAATTTGACCTTTTAAGTCTCAAAAGTGGCGGTACAACACAGACTGTATGATGATGCATTCATGTGCTCATTGGAAACGCCCTACAAGTTTGTAAGCTTAAGATTTATGGCACATTAAACTGTTATCCATCCATCCATCCATCCATCCATCCATCCATTTCCTGGGTCAACCTATATTATCTACTTGTGTATAAATTGTTGCACAGCTGAGGTTGGAGCAGATTTGCTAATCCACCCAGCAATAGTCAAATAAAGTCAGCTCTCCTTTTTTAATGCTGTGGGTTAGCAAACTGGATTGATTCCACATTACACAGGATTAGAGTGAAATCTGATTTCAACCTAAAGTCAGATGTTTTCAGTTTGAGGCACAGCTGTAATTGAGTTGACAAAGTAAAGGTAATGCAAACCTCTGCTGCTACCTGCAGGTAAGACAAGGCACTGCGAGAGAACTGCTCTCCAGTACATTTATTTATAAGTTAAATAAAAGATGAGGCAAGTCGGGAAACTCTCTCCAGGAAAGAGGTGTGCCTACACTTAACCTATCCCATGAGACTTGAGCAATTAAGTCAGTAGAGATTAATGTCACTGGTAGAAAGCATACTGATGATATTACCCTAAGCAATGGACCCAGATTAAAACTGACAACCCCAAATAATAAAAATAAATTCAATTTTGAAACTAGTTTTCACCAGAAAAAGTCTCCCTGGCCTCAGGCGCCAACGTTAAAGAGATCACAATCAGTCTGAGAGCAGTTGTGGATAACACTGCTTCATATTCACAATCCAGGAAACAATCCAACATTATCACTCATAATATATGCTGTGTATGTTGTTTGATGTATTTTGTTCTGCAGATGCCTGGACAACCATGTATAAAGATGCTTCCAGAAACATTCACACTCACAGTATCCTCAATACACCAGAACACAAAAACTCTCACCCTCCAATTCTAACTCTCACAATCACGTTTGCTCTCAGGTTATAACCCACAGATGCCGACCACTTTTGGCTAAGAGCGACTAGGCAACAAGTCCTACTCTGGGGCTGTGGAAAGGCATTCTGGGAAACATTATGCCTTGAACATTATCCTCCACAAGATTTAACTGAAAGTCTAAAACCAGACGGCTGGAAATCAATGAAGTAGACTGAGGGAACATAAGTACAATGAAATTAAATACATTCCTCTCAAACCAAACAAACAACCATTTCACTTCCCACGTTGCTCTAATCACTAATTTTCTGTAAGAGAGCAACTTCAAAGGCTCCGGATATTTGTCTCAGCTGGTGATTAGTTTCCTACATTACTACTACAGCAAGAGTCACTGGATGTATTCATCTTTTATTAGTTTTCTTTTACCGGTGAAAACAATGTATTCCATCAGGTTTTATGTACCTTAGTCCATGTGCTTATGATCTGTGTGTTGTATGTTCTATCTGGTTGCCAGACAAATTTTCCCATAGAGGCGATAAAGTTAAAGTTGAAGTAGAAGTTATCAATCAGTGTAAGAATATCCTGACAGCAGCTGCCCGCTGGTCTTTACTTAAATACCATTTACTGTACCACATTTTATAGCTAGAAATTGGTACATAATATAAACATGATGGCAACTGAGATGGATTTTGAAAAAGAGAAAAAGAGGACAAATCCTGAGCTGTGATCCTGCACTGTAACAGCTCTTACCCAGTGGTAACACTGTAAGGAAGGCCAGTCATACACTAACTGTGTTAGTGACAATGAGACTAATAGCTGTTTGTTTGGCTCAGTGATGCCTCTTCTCAGTCATCACCCCGACAGCAAAACACAAATGCTTCAGTGGGTGAATGTGTGTGACACACTGTGTAAATGGATCTGACTCCTGCTTTTTTTCTCTCGCTGGCTGGACACACAGTGAAGTATCACCTCATTCGGTCTTGAGAAACCATGGAAATAATCTCATTTACAGATAAATATATCTTACAGTTCATACTTGTTTCATTTCGACAGCCAGATGGTTGACAAAATGATGCAAAATAACAGACAGAAAAGGCCAGTAATATACATGCAGTCTGCGTCTATAATATGGTACTTCAGCATGCAAGAAACTATGATGTATATTGAATTGATTTACAAATTGACACAATACACTCACTTGTATCCAGCTTGATACAGATACATGGTAATCAAGCAGAAATTCTTGCATGGTCCAAGTAACTGACACACAATAAACTAATGCTTTGTGAGTCTGATCCCATATTTAAGTTCTGTGGCATCAATTCTGCACCTCTGCAGGTCCACCAGCAGATGGAGACAGAAGACTGGTATTCATGAATACACACTCCGGGCAAATGTCTTTGTAGCTGAGGGCGTGCAAATGTGTGTGTGTGTTCTCTAAGATATACTTACTGGTAACAGTGAGTACATTAGTCTTGACCTCGGCAATGATGTTGAGGCGACCTCTCCTCTCAGTGTGGTCTGTCCCACACAGGCTCGGCACATTGGCCACACAGCGCTTATGGATGTTCATCATACAGTCTGGAAAACACACACGAACACACACACAGATGTATTTGTAATGTTGTTTAAGCATGTATTTCTTTTAAATATTCGCAGCAAAGACGATGCACAATATTATATTATTTTGGAAAAAAGGGCATTATGGGAATATAATGTGTAATACAGTACTGATGTATACTGATGTCAGCATGAGGTATAACTGTTTTTTAAGGATATATGCCAACACTTTGTAAGGCTGATACAGCTGTGACTAAATTCAAGCAAAGAAGAAACTGTTAGTTAGATGTCTACCAGTATTGACAGAAGATGTAAACTGACATAAAGATGTAGGATGTAGGGATAAGACTGATATAAGGATAGGTGTTAATACTGATATATGATACATACGGTCACATCTCATGCCCTGGTGTATGAGGCCGTAGAGCAGAGAGCCACAGTGGTCGCAGAAGGTCGGGCTGGAGTAGGTGTGGATCTTAAACTTGTGCTTTGCCCTCGGGTCCTGGAAGGAAAGGAGGAAGAGTGAATCATTAAAATCTGTATCTGCACATTTCCACTCTTCGTCATAAACCATAATAAAACAGTCAACAGTATTTTTTGTCAAACATTTGAATGATATTCTGTAAATATCATGTAAAACTATAATAAAAGTTTAGTGCATGTACATGTTGTTTGTTGCCATATGTGCATCATCCTATCTACCGGTATTGATTAGAATAATAAGTGATTGTCTGCCACATATGGTTTTCCTTATTCTTCCGGGTTTTATACATACCCATCTTTTATGCTCCATCTCTGTGCACATTGTGTATGCCTAAAATTTAGCATTCATTAAAATGGGCATCTGCACTGGAATCTGATCGAGATAGGTTTCATCACAATTTTCTTTGTTCACACCAGTTTAGAAAGACTACAAAGGCAGCTACACGTATGACCTCTGTGTGTGTGTGTGTGTGTGTGTGTGTGTGTGTGTGTGTGTGTGTGTGTGTGTGTGGACGTTCATTAGTAAATGAGAGGTCTTTATGGAGTCAGGAGGCAGGCAGGAGTTCAATCTCCACACACACCCACACAATATGGTTTGGCCTAGTTGTTCTTCAAGGTTTCAAAGTTCAGGCCTCTCTGCTTATGGTAAGTGTTTCTTAACTAAAAACTAAAATAAAAACTAAAAAAGATCAGTATTTCTATCATTTAGTGAATAGATTTATTTTTTTCATTTTGATGCAAAGAAACAATAAAAAAAAGAAAACTCAAGTACTAATTCCTCTTTTATTAGGATTCATAACAAAGGCGTAACTAGGGCAGAAACACAGGCTATTTCTGTCTAATGTGTGTGTGTTTGTGTGGGTGTGTGACTGACACCTGCAACCATGGCTCAGTGGGCATTCACACCTGCACCTAAGCACTGTGGTTTCAGTGGCTGGCACACACACACACACACACACACACACACACACACACACACACACACACACACACACACACACACACACACACACACACACACACACACACACACACACACACAGCAACATGAACCCACGGACGGTGAGAATATCCAATCCACCACTTGAGACGGATCCAGGTTGTGCGGTGAAGCAGGGATACTTCAGTGTAGGAGTTAAAATATTTCCATCAAAGTTACCAAACACTCAGCTACAGTAATGATCTCCTCAACCCTAAGATGCTTTGACGGCATCAAATACCCGTGCTTACCGCTAAATGTGTTTTGTTATAAACCGTTTCAGGAAGCAACCGGCGTGTTTGGTGTCTGTAGACATGTGTGTTCATGTCTTTTCACCTCATGAGCCAGAAAAGGGAGCTGATTGATTTCTTCCTCTCCTCCACACCTGTCCTGGAAAATAATGTTTAATTTAGGCTGCCACTGCCTGAATTATACCCAGCTTCCCCAAGGTGTCTTCACAAGTGTGTGTGTGTGTGTGTGTGTGTGTGTGTGTGTATGTGTATGCGCGTGTGCTTGTTAAGTCTGAATGATTGCGTGGCTGCCTTTGCGTAGGTGTGTGGGTTTCTTTGCTGTGTACGTGTTTGAATTTGTTGGTGTGTGTGTGTGTGTGTGTGTGTGTGTGTGTGTGTGTGTGTGTGTGTGTGTGTGTGTGTGTGTCGTCTTTCTCAAGGACGCGACCAACTCCTGCTTGTTTTTGTTCCTCTGAAAAAAACAAGGGAACACTGTGCTGCTGGAGCTCCAGTCATGAGCAACAGCAGACAGGGAGCGATATGAGGGCAGATGAGAGCGGCTGCCAGCTTCTCTACAAACACTAATGACTAAATACATCCATCTTAACGATTCAGGGATTCTTCAGGAAACAGAAAAGCAGGAAAAAGACAGAGAATAGTGAATAGGGACAGAAAAATTAGAGAAAAGATCTATAAAAGTGCTGTTTTGCCAATACGTCTGTTTATCAATTTTACTGTACAAATGTTATAAAGGAGATATTCGTCTAAGACTGTTTTATTTGAAGAATTTTAGCATCCAGTATCTGCACACATTGCAAAAGCAGTTATTACAGTTCATCCTGAGAGGAACATGACTGTCTGTATCAAATGTCAGGGCAATCCATCCGATAGTTACTGAGACATTTCACTAAATACAGAGAATGTCAACCTCATGGTGGCACTAGAGGCAGTAGTTAGGGTATCACCAAATGTCAGCAGGATCTATCCTCTAAGCCAATCTTTGCGATAGCTGTTGATATATTTCCATAGAACCATGATGCTAGCACAATATAACACACAATAAATAAGATTAAACTTTAAGTAAGCTACAATAAAAAAAAAAACAGCCTTGAAGACAAAGCGTTGAATATTAATCAGTTCTTTCCACACAGCATGATCAATGAAGGCATAGACAAGGCCAGAGACCCAATCAATATAATCTATATGATTCAGCAGCAGCTCTAAGATTCAACTCCAGAACTGCTTCTTTCTTTTTAATTAAATTATACTGTTATGTGATGTCTGAAAGGTGGAACACAAATAGTCTTAATTTACTCACAAAGTAGTTATTTTTATTATTTCACACTACGGTTTGTGCACACTTGACTTTTTCTTTCTTCTGCCTTCCTGTCGCCAACTTTTTTTTTTCAACAGTTTCACTTGATTTTACTCACAAAGACCCCACTAATTAAAAGCAGATGGTACAGTGTGGTGCTCCTAGACAAATGAGTGTATTTCATGGCATATGTTGTGTTACTGGGTGTCTAAACCGAAGGCCCGCTCATAACATCAGCAAGCGATGCCAGAGCAGTGTCTACCCATTAGTCAGTGCGAACACACACAGTTTTGACTGTTTTTTGTCATTGTGCTTTCACTCACTCCCTGCTTTCCTTTTGTCTTTGGTTTAACACACCGCTGTCTATTATTTTCCCTGCCAACAGCATCAGTCAACATGCCAGACACACACAGACACACACACACACACACACACACACACACACACACACACACACACACACACACACACACACACACACACATCCTGTCATGTCATTCATGATGCTGTGTGACAGGCAGATTGACAGCAGACAACACAGAGCCATGGCTCACAGTTACTGTTTTCATTGTTTGGTTCCTTATTGATTTTGTCTCCAGTCCACACACTCTTCTTGAGTAAGTGCTTACTGACTTTCTGACATTTCTGCAGTGGCCGTCATCATCCACTGTGCAGAGTACCCACGACTGCATGGCCACCCACAGCTCCAATACCATCATTAAGTCCGCTGACGACAGGAACGTCATCACCAACCACGATGAGACGGCCTACAGAGAGGAGGGCAGAGCCCAGACTTCTTGGTGCCAGGACAACCATCTCAAATCTCAGCGTCAGAAAAACAATGGAGATGATTATGGACAACAGGAAGTGGATGAGAGAAGGACACGCCCCCATCACCATCAAGGGGACTAAACTAGAGAGAGGCAGCAGTTTCAGGTTCCCGGGGTCCACACACTCGGCAGGCAGAGGCTCACCATGGACTCCAGGATACTCTGTAACTTCTACAGGTGCACAATTCAGAGTATCTTGACCAGCTGCATCCCCTCCTGGTACGGCAGTTGTGGTCAAAACTGTTCAGGATATCACCGGGATGAAGCAGCGGTTTAGGAAGGAGGCCAACAGCCACAAACTCTTCTGCCTGATGCAGTCTATATTATATTTAGAGTTGTTCTGATACCAGTAACTGCAATTTCTCCAAAATTGCCACAAATGTAGTATTGGGTATCGACAAGTACGTGTGTTTGTGTACAGATCCGATACCTTTTTCTTTTTTACAAGTCATGACCCACACTACTCAAAAAGCGTTAACCTGAGCCAGGCCATACAATTATGATAGCAATCATAGCTTAGTAAAAAAAAAAAAAAAAAAATGTATGTGTGTGTGTGTGTGTGTGTGTGTGTGTGTGAACCAGCAGCCAACTCTGATTGTATGCTGTCCTTTGTATAAAGCATAAGACTTTATCTGAATAGAGACAAACTATCAGCACTTTGTTTTGTGTACTTCTAGTGTTAAACACTAACTGTATTATTTCCTACAATTATCACGATTAAAGAATATTGTCTACAACTAACCTGAATTTTCTTTGTGATAGTAAACTGAATATATTTGTGTTTAGGGCTTTTTTACTCAGACCAAAGAAGCTACTTAAAGATGATGTCCAAAGGAAATGGTGACAGGCCTTTTTTCACTGTTTTCTGACATTCCATAGACCAAAACAATTAATCAATTCATTACAAATTTGCTACCTGCACTACCTTTGCTAAAAGCACCTTAGTGCACTAAATAACAGATGCAAAAACATTAAACTGGTAACACGCCTCAAATTGCACAGTGTAAAGTTAATCAAAGTGCCCATAAGTGTGGATACCAAAATACTAAAACTGAGTAAACCAATGAGTCTTTCATCCCACTCTGTTCTTTTTTTGTAGAGAGTGTGCAGTCTGTTGATGAATCAAAGAAAACGTGATATTGCTTCTGATCAATAAAACAAATGCACTGCCATTGTGTTTATCCCCCTCAGGCCTGTAATTCTCCCTCTGGGAATGTTTAAGCATTTCTGGGAGATTATTTAAATGATTTCTTGTTTATTTGTTGGGAAGCTATGCAAAGCAATAGGACTAATTGCGCCAGAGGAGCAGTGAAGAATGAATGAGTGACACAAACAGAGGGAGTGAAGAGAGGGCTGAGGGTGGTGGTTTCATCTTCACACCCTGAATGTACTCCCTCTCCTCCTTCCTTCCCTCCTTATGCTAATCGCAATCTCTCCATCACTTTGTCAGCCATCCTCCTCTCCGAAGGTTACCTTGCGGTTTCAGTGTGGTTTTTTAACCATCTGGTCACACATACCGTTACTGTAAATATATCAGCGTAGTTTTACTCAGTGACGCTCTATCGGAAATCACGTTTTTTTTTGTTTGTTTTGTGTACATGTATATCCACATATTGGAAAAAAAGAGTGACCCAGTGTCCATAAAAAAGATATTAATACTCCTCC